TCGGGATGTACCGCAGGTGCTCGAGCGTCCGCAGGTCCTCGACCACCGAGAGCGAATCGGCGATGATGGCGTCGATGCGCGGCATCCCGCGCTTCCGCTGCGACGCCTCCTCGACGCTGTGGACGGTGAAGGGCTTCAGACCAAGCTCCTCGAGCATCTGCTGGACGCCCGTGTCGTCATGAAGCGTGTCGAGGTAGAAGATGTTGCGGCCGGCGTAGGGGCGGATCTTTTCCTTGACCTGGTCTACGCTGATGTCGTCGAGCTTGACGACCATGGTAAAGAAAAAGTCGGAGCCCTTGCCGTAGTTGCTGCGCACCCACAGGTCGCCGCCCATCAGGTTGACGAGCCGGCGCGAGATCGACAGGCCGAGGCCGGTGCCGCCGTACTTGCGCGTCGTCGACCCGTCGGCCTGGCAGAAGGTGTCGAAGATGACGTCGAGCTTGTCCTGCTTGATGCCGATGCCCGAGTCGGACGCGCAGAACTCGAGCATGGCCTGGCCCGGCGTGACGAGCTTGGTGAACTTGCACTTGAGCGACACGCGGCCGCCCGCCTCGGTGAACTTGACCGCATTGCCAATCAGGTTGGTGATGATCTGCTTGAGGCGGAGCGCGTCGCCGATGAGCGGATCGGGGCAGTCGGGCGCCACCTCGTACATGAGGTTGAGCTTCTTCTGGGTGGCGCGCACCGAGAGCGTCTTGAGCACGCTGAAGACGATGCCACGCAGCGAAAAGGGGATCTCCTCGACGTTCATCCGGCCGGCCTCGATCTTGGAAATGTCGAGGATGTCGTCGATGATGGCGAGCAGGTTGCCGGCGAGCGTCGAGACCGTCACGAGGTTCTCGCGCTGGCTGCGCGACAGCTCCGTCTCGAGCGTCAGCGCCGTCATGCCGATGATGCCGTTCATCGGCGTGCGGATCTCGTGCGACATGTTGGCGAGGAACTCGGACTTGGAGCGGTTGGCCAGCTCGGCCGCCTCCCTCGCCGCCGTGTTCTTCTGGATGCTGTCGCGCAGGCTGTAGACCATCTGGTTGATCTTGGTCTTGAGCGAGTCCATCTCTCCGCTCGCCTCGACCGTCACGAAGCGGGTAAAGTCGCCGTCGGTTGCGGCCGCCGTGATCTGCGCAAAGGCGCGCACCTGCGACGTGAGGTTGTTGGCCATGATGTTGACGTTGTCGGTGATCTCGCCCCACTTGCCCTCGATGTCCTTCTTCTGCGCCTGGACGCCCAGCTTGCCCTCGGTGCCGACCTCGCGCGCGACGCGCGTCACCTCCGAGGCAAAGAAGGACAGCTGGTCGATCATGTTGTTGATCGTGTTGACCAGGTCCAAGATCTCTCCAGAGACCGAGATCGTCACCTTCTGCGTCAGGTCGCCGCGTGCGACGGCCGTTGTGGCGTGGGCGATGGCGCGGACCTGGAGCGTCAGGTTGGCGGCCATGGTGTTGACCGAGTCGGTCAGGTCCTGCTCGGGCGGCACGTGGGACGGGACGAGTCGAGGTGAATGGGGCCGGCGCAAGGTGGAGCGGGATGTCAGCGGTCGGATGCGGCCCAAAGTACGGGCAGAGCTTGGCACGGTGTGCTCGCAGCGGGCATTGGGAGACTCACCTTCCACGTTCCGCCGACGCCGAGGACCGTGGCACGGCCTCCGAGCTTGCCCTCCGTTCCTACCTCCTTGGCCACACGGGTCACCTCGGTCGAAAAGGTGCGCAACGACTCCACCATGTTGTTGACGGTGAGCTGCGGAGGCGGAGCGGGCAAGCAGGCGAAGGAGCAGGATCGCAAAGTCAGCTGCCGTACACCCGGTTCGACCGGCTACGAAGCCACCGGACCCGCGCGGAGAGACTCACCTTCAGGTCGAGGAACTCGCCTCGCACCTCAACGTTGATCGTCTTGCTGAGGTCGCCGCGCGCGACGGCCGTGGTGACGGTTGCGATCGATCGCACCTGCGTCGTCAGGTTGCTGGCCATCATGTTGACGCGCTCGGTGAGGACCTGCCACTGGCCCTTGACGTCGTTGACGTTGGCCTGTCCGCCAAGCCGCCCCTCGGTTCCGACCTCGACCGAGACACGGATGATCTCGTCGCTGAGCGTCTTGAGCTGCCGCACCATGTTGTTGACGGTGAGCTTCAGGTCGAGGATCTCTCCCTTGACGTCGACGGTGATGAACTCGGTCAGCACGCCCTCGGCGACGCACTTGGTGACCCGAGCAATCTCGCGGACCTGCGACGTCAGGTTGTCGGCCATCTTGTTGACGTTCTCGGTGAGATCCTTCCAGGTGCCCTCGACGTTGGGCACGTGCGCCTGGCCGCCCAGCTTGCCGTAGGTGCCCACCTCCATCGACATGCGCACCACCTCGCTAGCAAAGATCCGCAGCTGGCCCACCATGCTGTTGACCGTATCCTTGAGCTGGGCCATCTCGCCCTCGGCGTCGATATCGATCGTCTTGGTGAGGTCGCCCTTGGCCACGGCCGTCGTCACCATGCCGATCGAGCGCACCTGCTCGGTCAGGTTCGAGCACATGCGGTTGACGTTGATGGTGAGCTCCTTCCAGACGCCCTGGACGCCGGGCACATTGGCCTGTCCGCCGAGCTGGCCGCGGCTGCCGACTTCACGCGAGACGCGGGTGACCTCATTGGCAAAGTGGCGTAGCTGGTCGACCATGACGTTGAGCGTCACCTTGAGCTCGAGGATCTCGCCGTCGGCCTCGACCTCGATCTTCTTGGACAGGTCTCCGCGCGCCACGGCCTTGGTGACGAGCGCCACACCCCGCACCTGGTTGGTGAGGTTGGCTGCGAGGCGGTTGACGACGTCCTTGAGCTCCTTCCACGTGCCCTCGACGCCCTCGACTTCGGCCTGGCCGCCCAGCTTGCCCTGGGTGCCCACCTCGAGCGACACTCGCGTCACCTCGGCCGCAAAGTTCGACAGGCGGTCCACCATCTGGTTGATGATGTCCTTGAGCTCGACCATAACGTGGCCCTGGACGGGCACCGTGATGTGCTGCGTCAAGTCGCCAAACGCGACGGCCTTGCACACGCGAGCAATGTCCTGCACCTGGGCCTTGAGCAGGCGCAGCTCCTCCTGAGCGCTCAGGCCGCTCTCGTCGTTATACCTCTCGAACGCGCCGATGGGGTCTTCTGGCGCCGCACCGCGACCGGCCGACGAGAGCAGCACGGGCCCGTCGGTGCCCATCCCGAGCGGGTAGCTGAGCGGGTAGGTGGAGCTCTGCGGCTGCGCATGCGAGATCGGGTAGGGGAAGGAGCGAGACTGGGGCGTGTGCGCCTTGACCAGGTCGTCGCCCGGCACCTTGGAGTCGGACGACGTGGCGGTGTCGGCTCCGGGCGTCCGGGCTGCGCTGCCGTTGGCCTCGCTGTGGACAGAGGCGGCCGTCGTGGCGTGGTGCGGGGCCGCCGACGAGGCAAACGCCTCGAGCTGGTTCTCGGCCCTCCAAAGGCGTTCTATTAGCCGGCCGAGGTTGGCCTCAATGGCCTGTGTCCGCGCGTCGCCTTTTCCGAAGCTGTATGGTGGGAGCGGGAGTGAAAGCATGCCTCCGTCCCCGTTCTGTGTCGGATCCGACAGCTGTGCCGCGGACAGCTTCTGGGCAATGTCTGCCGACTCTGCGGCTGGTGCGCCAAAGCGCTGGGTCGAGAAGAACGAGTGCTCCAGGTCATGGCCCATGTGCTGGAGGACAGAGGGGGGCGGTCTGCAGTTGACGAGGGCCTGTGTGACGAGGGCGAGGTGGTCGATGAAGTCCTGAGGCATGTTTTCGGCGCGAGGCAGGGGGAACGAGGTGCTGCGGGACATTGAGGCCGAAGAGGCGTGCGCCTCGTGTGTCGGCGCTGCGAACATTGCCGCCATGGTGTGCTACGCTTCGTGGCGAGCGTGGCCGGACGACGTCGACTCGGCGTGTGCGTGTGTGTGTTGAGAGGACGGCAGGCACGGCACTAGCCCGGCTCAGGATGGCAGGGGGGGCCGTCTCGGACGGCAGAGACGAAGTAGCGAGGTTGAAGGTGATCGAACGGGCCGAAGAATGCTTTACGAGCCGGTGCAACGATGGCCAGCCTCTGTCGCGACCGGGTGCTTATGTCCGAGGGTAGATTGGTGGGTCTACGAGGGTCGGCCTGGCGTTCACCAATGGCCAAGACAGGGGGGTGATGGCGGCGGCGGCAGCAGCAGCAGCGACGATGGCGGCGATAAGTGGCAGCCTTGTTGGAGACGGGGATTGAAAGAGACACTGAGACTGAAATAGAGCGAGGGTGGTGCTGTGCGTTGCTGTGGGACCGGGTGGAAGCTCGACAGACAGAAGCACGGGCAAAGGGGGGCGTAAGGACGACACAGCCAGAGGAGCCGGAGAAGGATTGGCAAGGGTAGGTTGGGCGAGGAGATGGTGAAAGGGGAGGGGATAGCGTGGCGTTGGCGGAAGGGGGGGGCCACTGTAGACGAGAAGCAAGCAGGCAAGCAAGGCCAGGCCGAAGAGATGGTGGTGGTGCAAAGTCACACACACCGACACGCACGCACGCCGCCCGCACCCGCACGTCGGCAGCAGGCCCAGGGCTCAGGCCCAGGCAGGCTCAGGCAGGCTCAGGCAGGCTAGGCTAGGCTAGGCGGGCCCAGACCCAGGCCCGCCAGGTCCAGGTGGCTTGCTTGTCGGCCTGCTGGCTGCTGCTGCCTGCTGCTGCCTGCTGCTGCCTGCTGCCTGCTGCCTGCTGCTTGCTGCTTGCCGCACGCTGCTTGCTGCCTGGCCGCCTGCTTTTGCTTGCTTGCACCCTCTGGCCTCTCTGCCGCGCGCGCTGCGGCCGGCCGGCAAGGAGAAAGAGGCAGGCGGGCAGGGGCAAGAGCAAGGCGGCGCGGCCATGCCCTCGAAAATCCAGCAGGCCAGGCGAGCAAGCAAGGCAAGGGACAAGCAAGCCAGCCAGGCCAGGCCAGGCAGGGCAGGGCGCAAGCAAGCAAAGCACGCGGGCCACACCCGACGCCCAGCCAGAAGCAGGCCAGCCGGCCAGACAGGCGGCGGCCAGTCACCACCAGCACAGCCCAGCCAGCGGGCCAGCCAGCCGCCTTGTCGCCCTCGCTGGTTGACCCTCGCGCGCGCTCTCTCCGTCTGACTTTAGCCGACGCTACGCCAGGCCTTCGGGCAGGCACACCAGGCAGAGTCGAGCTCTGTTTGACCCTAGTTCTCTTAGACTCTGTAGTCACCCTTTTCTCAGCCAGAGACAGAGCGCAGAGCGCAGCACCCTCCTGCCTGGGCGGCCACCGGGGCCGACCTCTTGCCAGCCTAGCCTGCCTCTTTGCCCGCCCCGCCCCGCCCCTTTTCGGCTTCAACAGGCCATCGAGACGTCCAGACCAAGCAAGCAAGGTGGTTGCTGCTGTTGCCCAAAAGCTGATCGCGGTGCGGGCAACCAGGAGCACCACCACCTTGCCTACCAGAGCACCCAGCCACGCAGACAGGCTGAGCGCCATCTCGACGGCCGGCGTGATGGTTAGCAGCAGCTAGAGAGTCGCCCAAGTGCCACAGCAGACCGCTGCGGCAGCTTTCCGACAGCGAGCGAGCTCGAAAAAGGGGCCGGCCGGCCACGCCCGCTCGCTCTGGCCTCTCGCGGCATATGTATGTATGTAGACATGTTGGCATTCGAGGTGCCGCTCGGGATCGCTGCTGCCACCCGCCACCAAAGAGGCCCAGGCCAGGCGACTCGGGCTGGCGGCGCCAAAGGGCACTCCCGACCTACCTTCGACACTAGTCCGCTACGGCTTCGTCGCCCACCGACCACGCCGGCTTGCCTCTGCCGTCTCTTTCAGGCGTACGTACGGGACATCGAGGCCACCGGCCGCCCACCAGCAGAGCAGGTCCGTTGTAGATCCATTCGACGCTACTACCACCTAGAGCCAATGCACGGGCAAGCTACGCCCGCGTCGGTGTGAGGCGTGGTCAGCCCCCCACCCCCCGGTCGTGGGCGTCGTCTCGTGTGCTACCAGCATTATCGCACCATCGCACTACCGCTAAAGAGAGCGTAGCGCCGCCTGGTGGCCCTGCTGGCCGTTTTCTCGGTAACTACGCGTACGTATTGTCCGGCAAAGAGGACCCACCTCCGGTTGCGCGGAGAGCCCCGAGGGCTGTGCAACCCTGGACCAACCCACTCTGGCGTTGGCTCGCCGCCACGGACCGGGACAAGATGAGGCCCAAGCCCCCAAGCGCCCAGCCCTCAGCCCCCAGCCCCCAAGCCAGCAAGACCATCGATGCTATGCTCCTTTGCCAGGGGTTCTCTCCAAGTCGGCCCTCGAATCAAGTCCACCACCTCTTCAAGATCATCCAGACCACCACAACGCCACCAGACCCAACCCCCCGAGGGCCTCGTCCAAAGCCTCTGCTCGTCCATGGCGATGCTGGCCGGCTCTGCCAAAACAGCCGCTGCGGCCCTGCTCGCGACCCTGCTGGTACCAGGGGCGCGGGCTCAGCAGCCTCCCGTCCCGGCCAGTGGCGGCGCGCCCGGCGAGGGAGATGACAACGACGATACCGACGGCCTCGATCCACCCAGTTCTCCCTCGAATGGGCCTACGACGCACATCATCGCCGAAGACCCCTCGCTGCAGGACAGCGACCCCGCACAGCCTCCCTCGCCCGCGTCGCCGGCCGACGTCGAGCTGGGACACATCGACGGAGCAAAGTCGTGCGAGCCCCTCAGAATCAGCTGGCAGTACACGGCGCCCAACGACGGCCACCGCGTCTCTCTGCGCGTCTCGTCGGCGTCCGCGCTGTCCAAGCGTTCCATCCACCGCCTCGAGAAGCGCAGGCCAAGCCAGGTCGGCGGCGTGCCGGTTTCACGCCGCGACATCAACAACACCATCTCGCCTCCGGAAGGCGTCGTCTTGTCGGATGGAAGCTTTCTCTGGCAGCAAGTCTCTCTACCCGCGGGCAGCTACCAGATCAGCCTCGACGCGCCGGCCCAGGACGGCGATGACCCCATACATGCCGTCTCTGACCCCTTCAAGGTCGATCCGGGTACGTCGACGAGTTGTCTTCCCCTTGCCTCTGGCAGCTCACCCTCAGCCAGCTCGGCCCCGAGCGGCCAACCCAAGCCTCCCATCAACCGGAACGCCACCTCTGATCCCTCCTCGCACAATGTCGACGCGGCTAACGGTGGAGACGGTGGAGGCACGTCCTCCGGAACCATTGCCGCTGCGGTCGTCGTGCCCGTCCTCTTCCTCGTGGGCGTCCTGCTCGTCCTGCGCTTCATCCAGCGACGCAGGCGACGCCAGACGATGATGGGCGCAGCAGCGCGGCCCGCCGCGCCTCGGAATCCATTCGCTGGCGACACAGAGCTCAAGCACTCGGCCCCGCAGACGCGTGCATCGTCACTCGACTCGTTCACCACCGCAGGCGAGCACGACCGCCCCCGCGACTCTCAGCAAGCCTTTGGCCTCTCGCACAAGGTTGACCAGCAGACCGAGGCTACGACGACGGTCGAGTTCCTGGCGTCTTCGAACTTCAGCGCCGACAGCCCCTCTCCCGAGACGGCCGACGGTGGCAATCTGTCGCGCTCGGCCTCCAACGCCAGCACCTTTAGCATCAAGAGGAAGCCGGTGCCACCCCTGGCGCTCCAGCGGTCCGCTACCGTGCAGCACAAGAGCCGCAATGCGGGCCTCGCGAATCGACCAGCTCAACGGCTGTCTGAGCCGTCGATGGTCGAAAGGCCGGGCTTTCACTCGACGGTACTACGCCTAAACGACGGCGGCATCAAAGACGCCAACCACAGCAACCGGGACTCGGCGCTTCCGTCGTCGACCTTTGACCATGTGCCGCCTCAGTTCCGGTCTTCAGAGGCGCTACCGTTGGATATCCCGTCCGCGCTGGGGGTTACGGCTCCCGAGCACCGTGCCTCGGCGGCGACGATCCAGGTGACGTGGCATCCCGGCCAGCCTACTTGTGCACACAGCAGGGACGACACTGGCCCCGTCAGTGCTGCGCCGACAGTCTCGAGCTTCAGCGGCGACCGGAGTGGCTGTCGAGACTCGACGAGAACCGAGGATGGGACGATAGCAGAAGAAGCGTCTCAGACTGCCGCATCGAGTCGCCACCTCAGCGTCCACGCCTCGCTGGCGTCGCCCGGTCGCCGCGGAACGTCGGACACGGCCCACTCGAGCCGCACCCTGAGCATGAGCGAGTCGCTGTACGCGCCCTGCGAGGTGCTGGTGGCCACCCGCGTCAATGCGGTCCCCGTGGGCACCGAGCCGGTCAGCCTCTCGTCTCTGTCGTCGTTGACCGGTCAGCCTGCCCGTGGGTCGGAGCATGGCGAGCAGGGCGAAGACGACGGCTCCTCGTCGGACACTGTTGATGTCGCGAGGGGAGCCCACGACGACCAGGCCGAGCAGCGCCCGTAGCGCAGAGTCGCCGCCCTGCCGTCGCCCTGCCAGACTCGCAGCGCAGGTGGCGCTTCCTGTCCCGCGCCCAATCCCAATCCACCATGCACCCTCTTGTCGCTCGTTTGTCCGATCGTCTGCTCCAAGTCACGGGCGATGTCCCTGTCGCCTTCGTCTCCACAGTCGTTTCCTCCGCCCGTTCGATCAATACCATGCGTCGTCACTATGTCGTGCCGTGGGTCTGCAGTGCTCCGACCGGCAATCTGTCAAATGCCTTGCCTTGTCGGGTCAAGTGGTGTCGTTGCGGCCGCCTCTTTGCAAATTGTCGAGATCTGCACGGCATCTCGAGTTTTTTTTGCCGCGTTTCGGACGACATCCGTCCACTTTTATCGTTGCCGCGACTGGAACTTCAAAAGCTGTTTTTGGGGATGGATGCTCTCGAGCCTGGAGCTGGGGGAAGGAAAAAAAAAAGCCCTTCAAAAATAGACTTTCGCCGCTGGCTAGGCCCTGCCGACTGGCCAGGGACTCCAGCACCGTTGTTCTCAAAATCTCAATCTGCAGGATACCCGTGGCAAAGCAGACATCTCGAACCAAGACCTGCCAGAACATTATTGATTTTCGGGAAGCGGTGAAATCCTTCAAAAGGCTGTGACAGCCTGAAGCTCACTCGATGGCAGCGAGCGCGGGGCAGGGATGACGTCTAACGTTACGCGCCGGACCCTGTGTTGCGCTGGCTTGCCTACAGCCTGGCTGGCCTGGTTGGTCGGAACCGGTCAGAGATGCCACAGGGCGACCAGGACAAGCAAGGATGCATGCACATGCTCGAGGGAGGCAGCCTCATCGAGCCGGGGCCGTGGGGCACCGGGGGCTGTGCGATGCGACGGGCAGGAGCTGTCGAGGTGACATCTGGAAATAGAGCTCTGTCTGATCTCCTGTCGCTTGCGCCGTGGTACGGTACGGTACTGTACAGTGCGACGACGGCTTGACATCACCTCGAGGTCCTTCCAAGCTGTCTGGCATTGGGCAGGCCACATCCATCCGTCCGACCATAGGGCACCGCCACGTAACCTTACCGCCGGGTTGGGCAGCGAAGCGATGCGCGCGTCCACCTTGCTTGCTTTATTTCTTGTTGCGGTTTTCGGGGTTGGATCGGTTGCCTGTGGAAGCTGCCTGGCCGTACATACACATGCAGCAAGGTGGAGGGAAAGGCTATGACGCAATTGCGAAGCGCTAAGGCCGTCTTTGCTTCTTGTCAACGGGGCAGGCTAGGCAAGGGCAAGCAGCTCAGGGGACGTCCGGACGTTGAGGCAGGCCGCCTCTCTGGCATGTGGGGTGCACCTGTCTGCCCATCTGCCTTTGTGATGGCCGGCCGGCGTCCGGCGGCAGGCAAGGCCAAGGCCAAGGCAGAGGCATCATGCCGCAGCGGCGCAGCAACCGTCGCTTGCCCCTTGGGGCTCGATGGTACGGTACGGTGGATGTTGGAGGCGAGCCAAGCTGAGATCTTGCGACGTCTCTCTCCATCCGAGATCCAACGAGCAAGAGCTATAAGAAGCGTCGATCCTCTCTCTCATCAGCGCTATCTCTGCAACCCGCCATCATCTTCCATCTTCCATTTTGCACTTAACTCAACCGCCTCTTCTAACACCCCTTCGTATCCCATCTCAATCATGTCCGCTGTAAGTTGTCGCTTCCTCACCTTGCGCTCGCCTTCTCGATACGCCGATCCCTAACTTCGGACACCCTCCCCTCGCTCGCCACGACACGACGACACGACAGCCCCCGCCTCAGCAGCCCGGCGCCGGTGCCGGCGGTGTGCCGCAACAGGATGCGCTCGACAAGGGCGTCCAGGCCGCCTCGAAGCACTTTGGCCACGAGACCAACGCCTCGACGACTGAAAAGATCTCGGACGGCATCCGCAGCGGATTGTGAGTTGCCTCCCTCCCGCCCTGGCCCTGGCCGCCTCGGACTCGTCGCCTACCCCTGCCCTGCGTGGACGCTGTTCGCTAACGCATTCCCCCCTTCCCCAACCCTCGGCTCACACGATCAACAGCAAGAAGCTCACTGGCAAGGACGTCCCCATCAAGGACAAGCAGTAATCTACCTGCCCTTCATTGGTTGCTTGGCCAGAGCGAATACAGAATACCCCTCTTATGCCCCTTGAAGCGTGCCTGCACCGCCCGTCTGTGGCTGTCCGTCAGGCCTGGTTGAGTCGCAGCGCCATTTCAATGAGCCTATCGTCGTCGGTCGCACCTGCCTTGGTCCTGCTCCTGCCCTTGCCCTTCGCCTGCGACGGCGACGGCGACGGCGTGTACTGTCCGCCTTTGTGTTGGGGCGTTGCAGTCGCTTCCTTTGCCGTGCTCGAGGCGCCAGCAGTGTCCTGCCCGGGCGGTGCGTCCCGCTCGTCCTTGATGCCGGTGCCCTTGCCTGGATTCGCAGAGATCGACTTGGCCCCGCCCTTCTCGCCCTCACCCTCGCCCTGAACCATCTGCGCCAGTACGACCGGATCAAGCTTGACGCCGTTGGCACCGACGACTTCGCCGATCCCCAGCCCGTTCTTGCACCGCCACTCGATGTACCCCTGCAGCAGCTTGTCTGTCACGTCGTCGTCCTGTGCCTTGGCCTTGGTCTTGTCCTTTCCCTTGGCCCGAGCGGCGGCTTCGCTTGCTTTCTTGGCGCTCGTCCCCGGTCCCGGTCCTGGGGCAGCGGCGGCATCGGCTTCCACCTTCCCCTTTCCAGGCTGGTCCTTCTTGGCCGCGCCATCATTCGTCGGCTTCTCCGGCTGCTCCTCGCTGTCCGCCTGCGCCTTTTCTTTGCCCTTGCTCCTTTCTTTGTTCCCGACCGCCTGCGAAGGCGGCGACTGACCTGCCGCCTTGTCGTTCTTGCCCGCCTGCCCATCTACCGTCACCGCCTTGGCCGACGTCGCCTGGCCGAGCAAGCGCCCGAGCTCCCGCCTGACCTCGTCCGCATCCATCTCTGGAAACTGCGATGCGAGCTGCCGCACCGCATCGTCGACGAGCCTCAATACGCTCCCCGCCCCCCTCTCCTCCTGCTTCGACTTCGTCTGTGCTGCACCGACAGCGAAAGCGGTGGCCGTCGCCTTGCTAGATGCCTCGACTTTGTCCGTCTTCTGTGCTTTGACGTCGAGCTTCGCGGTAGATGTCGACGGACCTGCCTCGACGTCGTTGCGCGCCTTCGCCTTGCCCTTGTCGATAGTTGGGACCTTCGCGTCGGATGCTTTCGGAGCACCTTGATCCTTCACGTCTTGGCTCGGTTCTGCCGCTCCCTTCGCCGGATCGTCGGACTGCCGCGCTTCCTTGCTCTTGTCTCCCTTGGCCTTGCTGGACGTAGCCACGGCTTGGTCCGACATCTTGGCTGGCTCGTGAGCCAGCGGGCTAGGCTGGCCTCCTTTCGCTCTTGCCTTGTCAGGCGCGGCCTTGCCCTGACCCTCGACGTCGGCTTCCTTCCGCTGCGGCAGTCCCTTCGCATGTAGATCCTTCTCCTTTGACGTCTCGCCACTCGGTCCCGCCTCTCTCCCATCGCGACCCGCTACGCCGCCCTGGTTCTCGCTGGCCTCGACCTTCTTCTTCTTCTCTATCTTCGCCTTCTTCTTGTCCGCACCGTCCGAGCTGGCCATGCGGACGTCGAGAACCTCGTCAAACTGTCCCCCTGCCCCAGGTAGATTCTTGAGCCAGCTGTTGACCTGTCTCGATTTGGGGCTCGACGCGAAGATGGCCGACCAGGACGGGACGAAGTCGCCCCGTCCCGCCATGCTGGGGTGGGCGGGTTTCGCGCTGGCCTTCAGCTTGCCCTCCCGCGGCGGCTTGGGCGTCTTGGAAGCAGTAGGGCTGGCGGTGGGACGAGGCGCGACGAGGTCCGAGTGTTGCTTCTCACCGGGCTGGGCCTGTACTCTTGTCGGAACCTTCTTGACCCGCTGCGAAGGCGATGCCGTCTCGAGTGCAGCCTTGTCCCCACCATCCCCGCCCTTTCCTGCGCGGGGCACATCGTCCTTCCTCGTCGCTGCCTTGCTCTTCGCCGCAGTCACCTCTGGTGCAGCGTGGTCCCGGACGTCCGCCGCCTGCTGCTGTTGGTGGGCCTGGGTCCACAGCGCAAAGACGAGGTGACAGCATACGCCTAGCGCGACAACGACGACGGCGTTGGACAAAATCAGTCCGACCGACTCGCCTATGCCGACCAGGACCAACCGGGCGAGAAAGGCGAGCAGACCGACGAGGAGCACGCTAAACAGCCACGGTATCGTACCGCTTCCGCCGCCCCACTCGTCGATGGCCCCATCGTGTCGACCCGTGCGCCCTAGCCCCGGCGCCCGATCGTCGCCCGAGGATCGATGCGGCGTTGCGAGCAGCCCGAAGAAGACGACGAGCAGAAAGAGGAGCAGGATCGATAGCGTGTCGTCGTAGCTGAGGTGCGAGAGGAGTAGCGAGAGGCTGGATACGAAGCCGAGGAAATGGAGCGGCGCCGTTGTCGTCGTCGTTGTCGTCGTCCGTGTCGCAGGTCGGGCGTCGTCTCGTATCGACGTTGCCCGGTCCGCCATCCTGTCGGATCGCTGTCGACTGGTTGGTGGCGCTGCGGATGTTGTGGTCATGAAGCAGGCTCGTCGACGGAAAGAGAGCCGGAATGCAGGCCGGCCTCTTGGCGGCGGCTGCTGCCGCTGCGCCCACACAGCCGCCGGGGGGGACCGCTTCATAAGGTGATCGTCCCCACCTTTACCTGCCGTCGTGTCGCGGGCTGGTCGGGTGGACAGGCCAGGGGAGAGGCGCACACTCCCGCCCCCCGTCCGCTCAGAACGATTCGGGAACGAGACCGGCGATCCACGGCATCGCCACGCAGTCTCACAGCTCGACGTCAAGCTTGACACGGACATTGGTATCGCATTCGAGAGAATAGCAGAGACGGGCAGACAGACTAGGAGGTTGGATGAAATGGAATAAGAAACGTCTTCAGTCTTTGCCTCTCTCGGCTCTAACCGACTTGGACGAGGGCCGCTCTTCATGCCCCGATGACGGCGTTGACAGCCTGCAACGCCCTGGCCGCGGCATCGAGTGCCTCCGTCGGCCCGTGGCTCTGCAGCCGCTTAAGCGCCGACTGGGTCCGCACCGCCACCTGCTTGACGGCGTCCGTTGCCTGGCCATCCTCGGCCATCCGCCCCTCGGCGTCCTCACTCGCCTCTGCCGCTCCCTCGATAGCTTGCAGCAGGCTCAGCAGCAGCATGCATGCGTTTGCGGCAAACTGCGGTGGCATCCGCGCATCTCGCCTTGCCAGTACCGAGCAGATCATGTCGACCGCGGCGGGCGGTGGGGGCAGAGGGTGCGACCCGGTCGAGGCAGCCGAGTCCTGCGTCGATCGGCGCCGCGTCGCTGCCGCTGCTGCTGCTTTCGGATCGCCGCTGCCCTCCATCGTCTCATCCTCGTCACTGTCTGGCGATGGCCGTGCCGGCTCGTGCAGTAGCGACTGGGCCACGAGCTCGGCCCCAACCCGTTCACTGCCCACCAGCGTCAGCGCGAAGATGCCCTCGTTAACGAGGATGGGGTACTTGGGGCTTGTTCGCACCATCTCGGCCAGCGCCTGGATGGCGTCGCGGCGTACGACTGCCTGGCGCGCCGCGGCAATGTCGGCCGAGATGCCGCCGCCCGGCACAGACGACCAGAGCGCCTTGACGATGTTGACCACCACCCGCGTCGCTTCGAGACGCGTCGGAACGTCGTCCACCCGCTTGGTGAGATCGAGGAGCGCGGTCAAAGTCGTGCCGGATGCCGCCTCGCCTGCGCTCGACGACGGCGAGGGTGATGTGCTGACGACCTGGATGGCGTTGTCGGCCACGCCGGCGCACAGCTGCTTGAGCAGGCCGACGGTGCCAAACTGCAGAGGCTGCACCATGTCCTTTTCCTTGGCCAGGAACGGCGTGACGGCTTGGATGACGCCGAGCGATCCGATCACCGTCTTGTTCGATGGCGGGATCGACAGGTTTTTGAGCAGCGAGACGAGGCCATGCGAAACCTTGATGTCGTTGCTCGGCGACAGCAACGAAGCGAGGAAGGGCGCAAGGTGGTGCTGGTGCACTAGAGCTAGGCAGTGGGCGTCGGTGCGGGCCAAATTGCCGAGAGCCAGCATGCCGCAGCTGACGAGGTCGTCGCGCTCTTTGGCATCGTAGCGCATCCACGCCTTGAGCCGATCGATGAACCATCCGCCCATCTCGGTGTCGATCCCCCCAGCGGACCCTTCGATCTCGCCGAAGAGCCGCGTCATGTTGACGTCTTCGCCAGCGATGGCGACGACGGCGCGGGCCAGGGCGGCCTTGGCCTTGGCAAACGTCTTGATCGCCTCGGCGGACAGCTCAGCGTCGTCGACCGCAACGTCCGACGCGGATTCGGTCGATTCGGACACCTTCCAAAGACGCGGCACGGGGGCTTCTTCAACGAAAGTCATCATGAGGTCCAGCGGCGAGCGGTAGTGGCTCGCCGCTTCGTTGGCTGCGCGGGGACCGCCAAAGGTGGGACCGAGCGGGCCAGCGGCTCCCGCCTTGACTGCAGCTACCCGGAAGGCCTTTTCATCCATCGCGCAGCCTTCGACGAGCTCGCTGACGGTGGCGAGGATCTCGACGTCTGTCTCGGTGAGCTCCTCGACGTCGTCGACATCGACGCCAAGCGCGTTAGCCAGCGAGGTTGTCGGCGCCGTAGAGGTCGGAGTGTAGTGCAGGAAAGGCCGGAGGAGATCGCCAAAGCTGTGCTGGCTGAGCAGCGACTTTGCCAGATTCTCAGCGTCATCATCGTCGTCCTGAGAGTCGTCCGAAGAAGGCCGCGCGAGGCCCTGCTGCTTTTCTTCCTTTTCGTCTTCGCAGACCTCCTGGACGACCCTCCAGGCCCAGCTCGAAACGGTTGATCCCAGCTTGACCCTCTCCAAGAGATCGCCATCCGTAAGCAACGCATCGGGGCTGATGGCAAGCGAGGCGAGCGGCAGGTACACTTTTGGATGGGAGGCGACGAGCGTGAGCGTGCTCAGGTTTTCGGCGACGAGGAGCGCCTTGCGGGTTGGGATGTGCTCGAGCTGGAGGTTGAGCACAGCGCCCATCGAAGTGCGCAGCAGCGAGAGGACCTTTGCGGAAAAGAGCGGGCCGGGAGCGTCGGAATACTGCGCAACGACCTGTGCGACAAAGAAGACGACCTCAGTGGCGGCCGAAAGGGCGTGCATGGTGTCGCGATTGGCTTCGTGGTCGATGCACAGATTGGCCAGCACGCGAAGGATCTCGGTCTGGGCAGCGACGACGGCGTCGGTGCCGGCGGTGCTGAGCGACAGCCTGAGCGCTGCGATGCACTCTGCCGGAAGCTTGCTGGAACCGAGAGGAGTTCGCAGGCGATCTGAGTTGGGAAGCAAAGCGAGACGGGCGAGAGAATGAAGCGATCAGCAACCGATCGGTGAGGGCAACCGAGCTCGCCCAGCAAAGCCACCACCTACCCGTCCTCAACACGTCGGCAATGGGTTTGAGCTCTCGAGCAATGGCCCTCCAGGACTCTTGAAGCTCAAAATCGTCATAGGTCATTGACGGGGCGGACTGGTGGAGAGATCGCGCACCGACGGCGGCGCGCAACGACGAGGGCGGTGCACGGGTCGCGGGCGGCGGAGAGGAGAAGAAGGGGTCGTTGGCCTTGAGGACGGTAGGCGAGTCCACCACGCTTCCCTCTGCTCCTGTGAGCTGGCCGAGGATGGAGGTGGGAGCGTCATGGTCGCCTGCGGTTGCGATGGAGAGCGACGTGGGTCTGGGGCCCGAAGAGGTGGAGCCTGCGCTGAGGGTGGAGGCCTGGGATAGGCGGTGGAGCTTGTCTGGGGTGATTGTGCTGGCGGTCGAGTCGTTTGTCGAGGTGCGCTGGGCCGAGGCTGTGGATGAAGAGGAGAAGGCTACGGCTGAGTCTCCCGAGTCGGAGGAGATGCTGTTGTCCTTTGCGATCTGGTGCAGGTTGTGGTAGATGGTGGACAGCCTAGATCGGACGGCGGACGAGGGGGAGCCTTCTTGTAGTGCGGCGGGATCGAGTGCGCCGAGCAGAATCTTCTGCTGCTGGTGCTCGGACGAGGACGAGGACGAGGAAGGCGGTGGGGCTCTCATGGTGAATGTGGCGAGAGAGGTGTGCGAGGCGGGTTGCTAGGAGAGAGACGAGTCGAAGCCATGCGGGTGGAGATAGAGTGCTGCTGCGATGCGGTCGACGAGGGACGATGAAGGACGAGAGAAAGAGAGAGGCTGCGCAGAGACAGAGACTAGGAGGCTTTGGACGATGTGGTTGCGAGAAAAGGCTTGCAGGCCGAGCAAGCGTTGACGGCGTTGGCAGCGTTGCGGTGCGGTGCGGTACGGTGCGGTGCGTTGCGTTGGACGAAGGGGCGAGGGAGCGTCGGAGTGCCGGCGAGTGGCGGGGCGCGACGAGGCTAAGCGGTCAGCGACGGCGGCGGCGAGTCGGCTGGCTATCCGATGTCGACCAGCGAGGCAGCAACAATGCCACAAGAGAGCGAGGAGAGACGAGGGGGACAGACCGACCGAGTGGAGCTACACGGCGTCGCGACGATGGTGGAAGGCGGGCCGATACCGAGACCTAAAGCAAGGTTACCATCTCTCTTGGGCGCCGGCTAGCCACAGGGCGGACCACACAGCCACGCCGCTTGGCCTGCTGCGGGGGCATGACCGGCTTGGCGCAAGGCTGTGCACCCGGCGGCCCGGCTGGGCTGGGCTGGGCCCGCTCCACTTTGGTCTTCTCTTCGATGGCGGCCAGGCTCCGCCAGGCTTCTTCCAATAGATCTTTTCTCGCGCGACAGGGCAAGGAGGGCTGCCGACTTTTTCGGATCCGCAAGCTGCCCGGCCAGGGCCAGCCGCTGGTTGGTCGGGTGAGCGGGCCAACGCAGCGCACGTCCACCTCGAGCCAGCCCGCCAGCAGCCGCCGCCGCCGCCGCCGCCGCCGCCACCACCACCACCGCCGTGAGCACTCGTATCGCCAGCCATCGCACATCGCTTCGACGGTGCAGCCCCTAGAACCATTCTCCCCTCGACCTCTCCCCGCCGGCGCCCATCATGGTGCTCTCCGACCTCGGCAGGAGGATCAATACTGCCTTCCAGGACCTCTCGCGCCAGCCCACCGTCGATGCCGGCACCGTCGACCAGCTGCTAAAGACGGTCTGCTCGGCCCTCATCGAGGCAGACGTCAACGTCAAGCTCGTCGCAAACCTGCGCACCCAGGTCCGTTCCGAGGTGTCCGCCCTCCTCAACGACAAGGCCAACGCAAACTGGTCCGACGCACAGCGCAGGCAGCGCGTCCAAAAGGCCGTATTCGACCACCTCGTCCAGCTCGTCGACCCCAACCATGGCCAGCAAAAGACGGATCCCGAATCGGGTGCACAGGTCGCATCGGCCACCTCGGGCCCCTCGGACGTCTTCAAGCCTAGGAAGGGCAAGCCCAACGTCATCATGTTTGTCGGCCTCCAGGGTTCCGGCAAGACGACGTCGTGCACCAAGCTCGCCCTCTACTACCAGAAGCGCGGCTACAAGACCGGCCTCGTCTGCGCAGACACGTTCCGAGCAGGCGCCTTTGACCAGCTGAAGCAGAACGCCAGCAAGAACAACATCCCCTTTTACGGCTCCTACACCGAGACCGACCCCGTCGCCATCTCGTCGGCTGGCGTCGCCTCGTTCAAGGCCAACCGCTTCGAAGTCATCATCGTCGACACCTCGGGCAGGCACAAGCAGGAGCAGGAGCTGTTTGACGAGATGCGTGAGATTGACGCCGCAGTCACGCCCGACCTCACCATCATGGTGCTCGACGCCAACATCGGCCAGGCCGCCGAGGCCCAGAGCCGCGCCTTCAAGGACGCCGCCGGCTACGGTGCCATCATCGTCACCAAGCTCGACGGACACGCCAAGGGCGGTGGTGCCATTTCTGCGTGAGTACCGCCCGCTCGCCATTGGCGGTAGCGATGGCAGACGACTGACCGCCTCTCCGTCCCACCTGCCCTCTTACCATCCGTCTCGCCGCCGCAGCGTGGCCGCGACCAAGACGCCGATCATGTTCATCGGAACGGGAGAGCACGCCACAGACCTCGAGCCCTTCCGCGCGCAGCCATTCATCTCGAAGTTGCTCGGCATGGGCGACATCACCGGCCTTATGGACAAGGTCGAGGAGATGCAGATGAACGGCGGCCAGGAGCGGCAGCGCGAGATGCTCAAGAAGATCGAGGAGGGCGGCACCTTTAGCATCCGCGACTGGCGCGAGCAGCTGGCCAACATCATGGGCATGGGCCCGCTCTCCAAGATTGCCGGCATGATCCCCGGCATGGGCCAGCTGCTGGGCGGCGGCGGCGGCGGCGACGACGAGGCGGCCGGGTCCAAGATGAAGCGGATGATGTACATCATCGACGCCATGACGCGCGAGGAGCTCGACTCGGACGGCAGCCTGTTTACCGCGCCAGTGCGGCACAAGCCGACGCCGCGCGAGGCGGGGGCCGTGGTGCAGCACCAGGAGGCGTCGACGAGCGGCGACGGCAGCAAGAAGAAGAGCAAGAAGAAGAAGAAGGCGCCAACCAAGGTGCGCATGACGGCGCGGGCGCGTCGGGTGGCGCGCGGGTCGGGCACGTCGGTGCGCGAGGTTGAGGAGTTCCTGATGCAGTACCGCATGGTGGCGCGGATGGTCAAGCAGATGGGCGGCAAGAACTCGTGGATGCGCCAGATGTCGGGCGCGGCGGCGGGCGGCGGTGGCAAGGGCAAGGGCGCGATGCCGCCGGCGGGCATGCTTCCGCCGGGCATGACGCGGGAGCAGGTGATGCAGATGCAGAACTCGCTGCCGCCGGAGATCAAGGCGCAGCTGCGCCAGCCGGGCGGGAGGGAGAAGCTGATGCGCGACATCCAGAGCGGCAACATTCCACCGCAACTCGCTGCGGCCATGGGAGGGGCCGGAGGTGGTATGGGTGGGCTTGGTGGGTTGGGAGGGTTGGGCGGACTCGGGAGCCTGCTTGGTGGCGGCGGTGCGGGAGGAGGGGGTATGCCCGATATGGCGCAGATGCAACAGATGATGCAGGTACGTCTCCGCCCCTGCCCCTGGCCCCCCGGGCCCTGCGCGCCCTCCCAATCGTGCTTACGAAGACTTGTCGCTGACCTTTCTCGCTCCCTCTCATTTGCTCTTCGCTTCTCCGCAACCTGCGATCTGCCCGCCCTGCAGTCGATGGGTGGAATGGGCGGTCTGGCTAACATGATGAAAGGAATGATGGGCGGAGGCGGAGGAGGTGGTCGATGACCTTCCCCCCGCTTCCTCTACTCCCCCCCCGATGCCTGTACAACAGTCACCCTTTTTTCCCTTCTCCCCTCCTGCCTCCCCCCCTCTCCCCCCACATCCCCTCTCCCCCCCACAACGCAAACGACGGACACCGAACAGATCGGAGAGCCGCTACAGGGGCAAAGAGGACAGCGGCGATGATGGTGCGTCGTGCTTTCGATTGGCGGGCGGGCCGACGTGGGCGTCGATGAGCGACTGCGGCTCGAGCCGAGAATGGGGTGGAACGCTGGGAGAACAACCTACGAGATACAGGCGAGGGCAAAAGAGGCCGAAAGAGGATGAGAGGGGTGGGGCGACACGACGGGCGCGGAAGACGGACCGAAACGGGAAACGACAAGACGAGAACGCGGGCGGGCAACCACCACCACCAACATAGACCGACGACACTGCCGACGGTGCTTCAGGGCATGGCAGGGTACGAACTCCTGTGCTGCTGCGGCTGCTGCGGCTGCTGCTGCTGGCCGCCGCCGCCCTGGTGCTGCTGCAGGAAGCGCTGGTCGTTGAAGGCGTGCTGCGGCGCGGAAGCTCCGCCAAAGTTGGCCAGCTGGTCAAACGGCGAAAAGGCCGAACCGCCAGTGTTGCCGAATCCAGCGCCGTACCCGCCAGCGCGGCCACCAAACTGCTGCGGGTGCTGCTGCTGCTGGTGGTGCTGCTGGTGCTGCTGGTGATGGTGGTGAGCCGCCTGGGCCTGCTGCATCTGCGAGCGGGCCATCGACATGATTGCCGGGTCGCTGAAGGGTAGGTCGGACGGCGTGGACGGCGAAAAGGCATCGCGATGGCTCTGTTGCTGGGCAAAGCCGCCGGGCCTGCGACCGGACGCAGCCAGCAGCTGTGCCAGCAGCGGGTCCGTCGAGCTGGCCGAGGCATTGGAACGCCCATGCTCAATGGACGGCGAGCCATGGTTGCCCTGGGCGAACTGCGCCTGCTGCTGGGCGCGCTGAGCCGCCTGCTGCTGCAGCTCGGCCAGGAAGCTGGCGCCGCTGCCGTTGGGCATGAGCTGCATCGAGTCAATCGAAGGCGAGATGCTTGAGCCGCCCATCTGATGGAGCGACGCGAGCAGCGCCTGCTGCTGTCGGCTGACGGGAGCAGAGATGCCCGGCGGAGGCGTGCTGGTCCCAAAGCGGCTGTTGAAGGCCGGTCCGTTGATGCCCGGCGGTCGCGAGAGTCCCATGCCCGGGTAGCCACCTCCACCGCCGCCCTCCCTGCCGAGGCCGAAGCCGGGGAGGCCGCCGCTGCCGTCGCCGCCAAACCCACCGATGTTGCCCTGCGCTCCGCCATGAGGCTGGTCGTGGTCAAACACGTTGCCGAGGAGGCTCGAGGCGTCCTTTGCCGTCGTCGAGGCGCCGTCCTGGTCGCCGAAGCCGTTGGCGCGCATGTTGAGCATCAGCTCAGCGCGAAGGGGCGAGCCGGCGATGCCAGCGCCCAGCGAGTCCGACTCCTTGCGCTTGGCGAAATCGAAGCGCGAGGCCCGCTTCGAAGCCTCGGAGGCCTCGACCTGTCCGTCGTTGGCCGCGCTGCTGGTGGTGCCGTTGCCATTGGCCGCTGCGTTGTTCTTGTCCTCGCTCAGCGTTCTCTTCATCTGCTCGATGGCCGCAAAGGGAGAGGCGTGCTTGTCGTCGCCCCCGATCGTCTCGCCTGCACCCGGCGCGAACGGGTCAAACGATCCCGAGTAGCTCAGCGGCGCCGGCGATGCCGTCGTGCTCCTGTTTGGCGTCCGCACGATGCCTGGTGGCGGAGTGCCGGCAGTGACCAGGCCGGCGTGCGCAGCAAGGATGCCGGAGGGTGCGCCAAAGGGGCTGAACGTGGTGAATGCCGTCGTCAGGTCCACTTGGCCGGGACGCAGCGGTTCCGAGCCGTTCGATTCCTTGGTCGCCTGCTGCTGCGCCGCAGGAAAGTTGAACGAGAAGTCGCCGTCCTGGAAGCTCGAGAGCGCATCGTCGAAGTCGGGAAACGGACTCGGCTTGACAGTCTCAGGCTCCGCCTCTCTCCTCTGCAGCATGTCGTCGAGGAGGGCCTGTGCGCTCGAAGAAGGCTGGTAGGTCGAAGGCGCCGTGGTGGACGACGACTTTTCGCTCCGCTCGCCTTCCTCCGATGTGAGAGTCCTCGTCGAAGCCGTCGCCGGCGACGCCAAGCCAGGCGGAGCGGATCCCTTGGTCAGGCCCGGAGGTCCCGACGGCGTCGCCTGCCTCGTGGTGGTCTCGGAGCTCGACTTGGAAGAACTCTGCGACTTTGGCTCCAAGCCGGGAGGTGGACCTCCGCCGCCCGTCGTCGCCGCATTCACTGCCGCAGGAGGAGGAGGGGGAGGGGCTGCTTTGCTGTGTGTGGGCGACGGAGACGCCTGCTCCCCCGTCAAGGGCGAAGGGGTGGCGGGCCGCGTCGAGCTGCCGAGCGGTGCCGGCGACTCTGCGCGGCCGATGGCATTGGCCCTCGACTTCGGCGTGGGTGTCGCCGGCGCCTTGGATGCGCTCGACTTCTGCCGCTTCGGCTCTGGGCCGCTGGGCTTCCTCGCCAGCACGGAGGCCGAGCTCGCCGAGAGCGGGGGCATGTCCGACTCGCGAAACGGGCTCCCCACCATGGGCGCGCCTGGCGCAAGGCCCGCGACGGGTTTCCCGGAGGCCCAAGATGCGGTCTTTGGCAGCGCGGACCCCTCCAACGAGTCGGACCCGGACAACAGATCTGGCCTCTTCGGTATCGCCGAGAGGCCCATCGACGCCGGCTTGATCTTGTTCTCGGTGTCCTTGGCGGCGTGTCGCAGCGTCGAGAGGTCCTCCTTAGTGAAGCTGTCGGCTTCCTCGCCCGGTTCGTGGAGGTAGGTGCAGCCCGGGTTGGTGCAGGGGAGGTTGCGGAGGTAGGTCGTGCAGTACTTTGTCGTGCCGTAGCTTGCGCGTATCACCTTGCCGTCGCTGCCCTTGCTGCCGTCGATGGCCACAATGGCCTTGGCCGCGTCCTCCTTGCGGTGGTACGTCACGTAGACGCCGATCGCCGACTCTGACGTGCCCATCACGAGCTTCGACGCCGTCGTCCGTTTGCTGATGAGGATCTTGGAGATGCGCCCATACTGCCCGAAGTAGTCGTTGCTGCGTAACGTCGGTATGAGCTGTGCGATGCCGGCGAAGGTCGAGGGTAAACCAAGGCGTCAGCTCCGTCACTCGTCCAAAGGTCGGAATGGGGTCACGCGCAGAGAGCCTGCTCACCTCTTCCTTTGCCAGTTTTGAGCTCAAGCCCACGACGTAGACGAGATTCTTCTGGACCACCCGCATGTTGGCTAAATGCTTGCGATTCATGGCCTCCAACTCCTTCTTTTCTCGCTCCTTTTGCTTCTTGGCCTGCGTCAGCTTCTTGATCCTGGAGAGAGGGCAGGGCAAGGGCGGGTGGTCGTTAACTCAGCAGTCAGCGGTGTCTTATTGCTGAGACCGGTGGGCATTGGACGGGACTCACTCTTCTGCCGTCATGGGCTTGAACTCGACAGTCTGATCCGAGTACTTCCGCCGGCATGCCGGACACCTCCCGTTGAGGTTCTGCTTGATGTGATGCCAGCAGAAGCGGCAGATCTGTTTTACGAGGGGCGAGAGAGGATATCAGAAGCCGCAACAGGGGCGCCGACTGTTGCAGAGGGCTGCGCGCGTAGACACGTACCTGATATCCGCATGGACATGGCTTGAAGTTGGCGTCCGAGAGGTCGATCTCCTCGAGACACAGGGGGCAGTCCATGTCCTCCTGGAAGAGGCCGGCAGAGGAGGTGGTGCAAATGCAAGCGTCAGCTTGGTGCGGTCATATGGGCGCCGGGCCAATAACAGTGGCCCAGGACGAATAGGACGATCGAGTCGCCGACAGGATCAGCCGGAACGGTAGACGGCAATCATGGGTCTGCCTGGGGGGCCGCGGTGCAGATTGCCTTTGTGCTCCTCCGATCTCCTCCTTGGGACTGCGCAGGCCGGATGCCAGCTTTCCATCACTCACCTCTTCGTCGGACCAGTAGGCATCCTGCAGTCGACACTGCTGTGCCTGGCTGACGTCAAACTTGTTGGGCGCTGGCGGCAGGCCGGTCGAGTGGACCACCTCGCTGGACGAGGCTGCCGCTGAGCCGCCACTTGCGCTCGAGTAAGAGGTGGACATGCCGTTGATCGACAGGGCTCCCACTCCGGGTGCGCCGGGGCCTGCGACCAACCCGAGCGGAGGGAATGCGGGTCCCGCGGTGGACGTCTGGGGGGCTGTCCTTTTTGCCATGGCTGTGGCGTCGGGACCGGACTGGTTTTCGGTGTCAATGCGAAGATGCTGGCTGGACTGTGCGGCAGGCACGAGCAGAGCCGCTGCTGAGCTGGGCTGAGCTTGCTGCCGGAGGACGAGCGCGGATGAGCGTGGTGATGGGGTGACAGCCGCGTTGACGTCGACCGCGGCAATTTGCGGTTGGGATCACGGCAAGGTGGCCCGGAGATGGACAGTGGTGGGCCACGGGAAAGCGCGTGGGTGGTTGGCTGCTGTGCTGGGGGAGAGGTGGAAGTTTGACGCGCGGCAGTGTCGAGGCAGAGGGGTGCGCACGTTGCCGCTGATAGAGATAACAATGATGGTGAAGATGGCGAAGGTGAAGGTCAAGGTGATGGCGGTGGCGGTGGTGATGACGGGGATGGCGGCGGCGGTGATGGTGGCGTGCCGATGACGGCGACGAACGAATGGCGAGTCGAGCTCCACCAGCGCCTGGCCTGGCCTGGCCTGGCCTGGCCTGGCGTGCCTCGCCGTGGGCCTGCGCCTGTTGGGCTGCGCCTGGCCCGCCAGCCCGCCAGCCCGCCAGCCCGCCAGCCCGCCAGCAGGAAAAAGGCAAAGCACACCACCAACCTCACCGGGCCAGCCCAGGTCGAGCGACCTAGGCTGTGTGTGATCACGGCTTTTTTCGTCTCTCACTCGCTCGCGTCTCTCTCACCCGGCCGACAAAAAGACAACACCCGAGCGCGGTCAGGCCAGCCACGCCGGGCCAAGCCTGCCTCGCCCCGCAACTCCACACGAGCCAGGCCGGGAGACGCAGCAGCCCCGGCAGCGGGCCAAGCAGCCATCAGCCTGCCACCAGCGGCCAGCCGCCACGTCCCCAGCGCCACCAGACTTTTGCTCTCTCACCATCCCGACTGCCCCCTGCTTGCACCAGCACCCTTGCACACACAGCATCCGTCACCATGGCTGCCGGACTAAAGAGTGAGTGCATCTTGCTGGCGCCGATCGCACAGATCCGACCAACCGCGCTGACATCCTCGACTACCCGATCTCGGCTACAATCTCTGCACCCACGACCAGCAATCATCCTCCTCTCGTTCGTCCTGGCTCTGGGCTTCCTGCTCATCATCCTCTCGTGCGCGCTCTGGGCCAACTGGCTACCACTTCTCGTCGGTGAGTATGGCAGCGATGGCCGGGCGAACGTGCTGCGATGGCCCCGCTGACGACCTCGATCGCCCCCTCTCTCTCCCCGCATCTTCCGGCCAGCCTTGACCTATGTGCTGGCGCCGCTGCCCAACAGCGTGTGCGCTCGGTGCGCAGGAGCGGATGACTTCTCGGCGGACTACAACAGGTGAGCGCGGCTGCTCGCTCAGGTGCGATCCGTCGCATGCCACCCCAACGCCCCGGCTCACGGCTCTCTCTCCCGCTCCCCGCTCGACTTGCTCGCCCCACGCCGCCCGCAGCGCCTTCCTCGACTTTGGCAACTTTGTGACGGGCATGATGATCGTCTCGGGTTTCGCGCTGCCACTCGCCCTGGCCCACTCGGGCATCATCGCTCCGATGGCGTGCATCATGTCGATTGCCGGCGGAGGGCTGGTCTATGGCACCAGTGAGTCCGAGAGCCCGATTGCGTTCACGTCCCGTCCCACGGCGTGGCCATCGCCTCTGACACGCCCCTTGCCTTTCCTCGCTCCGCCACCGCCATCGCTCTCTTGCTCTCTCCTGCCCTCACCTCGGCAGTCCTCACGTATTCCGGCTCCTTCAGCGAGACCGACGAGTTCTGAGGCAGTGCTCGGATCCATCCGGAATACAACGACATTTTGTGCGATGCGCGTTCTCGTCTATAAAGCGGGGCGATGGAGCGGTACAAGTACAAGGGCCCGCGTGCGGCGGGGCTGTCGATGACGAGCCGGGTCGATGTCGGCCTCGTCCTCCCTACGGCGGTGGCTGCGCATCTGACCCTGCCCCCGCCGCTTCCATCTTCTTCTTCTTGCGCTCGAGGTACCTCTGGCGGGCGCTCGAGATGGCGACGTCGTCGTTGCGCTTCTGGTCGACCTTTTGACGCTCGCGTTGCCGCTCTTCTTCCTCTTCCCTCTTGCGCTTGCGCTCGAGCTCGAGCATCTGCTCCTCGATCAGTGCGCTCTGGCGGGCGCGCTGGGCGTCTCGGTTCATGCGGCTCTCGTACTCCGCCCTGCGCCTCTGGTCGCGCTTCTCTCGTGACTCGCGCTCCTCTTCCCTCGTCCTCGGGTCCTGGGATCCCTGTTGTTGCCTCTTTGACACCACGTTTAGCCCCTTGGCGAGGAGGTCCCGCTTGTCGACGATCTGGTTGTCGTCGTTGAGCTCGACGTTAAGCCCCCTCTGCATGGCCTCGCGCGCCAGCTCAGCGTCGCTCTTGGCCCGAGCTGCTTCCGTCGGTGCTTTGCCAGCGGCCCCTTGATGCACGCCGCTCGCAGCCTCCGCCTCCGCCTCCGTCGCTGGCTTGGCCTGCAGCGATGCGGCGATGGCAGCCTCTCTGGCGGCGCTCGTGTCGTTGAGCATGTCGCGGTAGAAGGAGCCCATCCCCTTGGACTTTTCGCGCTCCTGCTCCTCTTTGCGCTGCTCGTCGGCCTCTGCCTTTGCAATCTCCTGCTGCTGCTCCTTGTAGGCCGAGGTGACGAACGCCTCCTTGTCCGCAAACTCGTCGCCCTCGGCCTCTCGTTCCCTCTGGATCATCTTGGCCTCTGCGCGCTGGCGGTCGCGCTTGCGCACTTCGGCCGATTCGAGAAAGTTGCCAATGTACTTTGGCTTGCGCTCGGCCGACTCTGCCTGCTTTGCTAGCTTGATGCGCTTCTCGGCCTCCTTCATCGAGTCGTAGACAGAGTCGTAGTCAAAGACAGCGGCGTCGAGCTGTTCAGCCTCTTGCTGCTTCTTGCGGTCGGAGCGAGAGGCGGGCGTGGCCGACTTGCCGGGAGCCAGGCCCATCAGGTTGAGGTTGCCCGAGGGACCCTTGGGCTTGGTTTTGTTCCTTGCCGAGTTCGAGGCCGACGAAGGTCCGCCGGCATCGCCGCCGTTATCGTCATCGTCGTTGTCGCCGCCAAGTGCCTGAAACGCTGCTGGCCGGCCTGCTCCGACCAGCGGCTGAGGCGTGGCGGGTTTGGCCGTGGCCTTGAAACCAAAGGAAATCTTTGGCTTAGCGCCGGATGGATCCGCCATGCTGTCGTCGGTCAGGCCGTCGGAGAGGCCGTCGGAGGGGGGCCCGATGGACGGTCAGGGATGTGATGGTGGTGGTGGTTGGCGTTCGGGCGGGCGGACGCTAGCCCAGCGTCTGTTGCACATTTTTCGCCCTGCTGCTTGCAGCCTCCACCTGAGGCCCGAGCGGGGTGTGCGAGTCGGGCGAGCCCGAGGCATGCAGCTGCAGCGATGCACGCCAGGCAGGCCCAGGCAAGGAAGGAGGCGCGCGCTGGCTGGACGGCCGGAGGCAGGCCAGAGGCAGAGGCAGGCTGGTTGAGCGTGGGGTTGCCCGCTCGGGTCATCCGCCTGCGATGGGCGCAGCAGGCCAGGCCAGGCCAGGCCATGCCCAACCCGGCCGCACTCCTCTGCTCCTGGTCGACCACCAACCATCAGCATCACTTCGAGGCACCGCGCTGTCCCCTCCATACGACGTCGACGCCTGCCGACGATGGCCACCAACAACCAGTACGGTCGGCCCTCGACCGACGACTACGCCGAGGACCGCCCCCTCATGGACCATGACCACGGCAGCGGCCACGAGGCCCAGCGCCGCCCTCGCGCACCGCCGTCTCTCGGCCAGCGCCTCAGGCGGCAGCTCAACGACATCTTTGCGCCCCTCGCCAAGCCCCACGAGCTGCGACCGCTCGAACGCTTCCTCATCGCCCTCGCCGCCATCTTCCTCCTCCTCGCCGCCGTATTCATCGGCCTCTTTGCCGGCTCCCAGCACCGACTCTCTCACCGCCCCTCGGCGCCCGCACCTCGCCCCGCTCCCGGCAACCCGCACCACGACCCGCCCACGGGCGAGGTATGTACCTCCAAGGAGTGCGTCATCGCCGCCAGCGAGGTGCTCCGCGGCATCGACGAGTCCGTCGACCCCTGCGACGACTTCTACTCGTTTGCCACCGGAGGCTGGGCAAAAAGCCACCCCATCCCCGGCGACGCCGGCGCCTTTGGCACCTTCCAGTACGTCGCACAGGAGAATGCCAAGATCATCAAGCAGATCCTCGACGACGCCGCGTCGCCCAAGCTCCTCGACAGCCACCCTGACGACGAGCAGGCCAAGGCGGACCGCCACAGCCTCGCCAAGCTCAAGGGCTACTACGACTCGTGCATCGACACAAAGGCGCAGGACAAGCTCGGCGCCAAGCCGCTTCTCGACGTCGTGCACGAGCTCAAGGCGCGCCTGGGCTTCGCCGATGAAGCCGCCGCCGACGAGCTCGACTTGGCAGCTGCTCAGGAGCCCGAGTCGCCGCTCTTTACCCTGCAGGCCACCTCGGGCAAGCCCATCCCGCCCAACCAGCCTCCCAGCCGCTCTCCCAAGCCGCACCCACCCAGGGACAGCCCCAAGCCCCTGCCGCCGTCGGGTCGCCGTCAGCGCGGCCTGACAAGGGCGCTCGCGTGGGCCCACAGCCGAGGCCTGCCGGCGCTCTTTGAGATTTCCATGGACGGCGACGCCGTCAAGGACCCAAAGGCGGCCACGCCGTACCTCTTCCCCTCGGGACTTGGCCTGCCCGACCGAGCCTACTACGACGACGATGCCGTGCTCGACTTCTACCGCGGCGTCGTCGAGCAGGCGTTCCGCGCGCTCGACAAGGAGGGCAAGCACGGCAAGGACGTCCACGCCGACAAGAAGGGCGGCAAGGGCCGCGCACCTTCGCCCGACTTTGGCCAGCTGGCCGGTCAGGTCGTCGAATTCGAGCGCCAAATCGCCCGGATCACACCGGACATTGAGGACATCTACGACCCGATCGGCTCGTACAACCCCGTCAACACGTCTTCGCTCTCGTACAGCTTCCAGTCGATCGACTGGCCGTCGTACATCTCGGCGCTCACCGTCCGGACGCCAAAGACCTTTATCCTGACCAGCCCCAAGTTCCTTACCTCGCTCGACTCGCTCGTGTCGCGCACGCGCTCCAGCGTGCTCGAGGCCTACTTTGTCTGGACGGCGGCGCGCGAGCTCGGTAGCGCGCTGGGACCCAACGTGGCGCTGCGCGGCCCCGCCGAGCGCCTCTCGCGCTACCTACGCGGCGTCGACGCCGACGCCAAGGAGGACCGGGACAAGGTGTGCCTGCAGGACCTCGACGAGGCGCTCGGCTTCATGTCCGGCCGCTTCTTTGTGCAGAAGGCGTTTGGCGGCGACAGCCGGGACCGCGTCGAGGCCATCATCCGCTCGGTCATCGCCGCCTTCAAGTCGCGCCTGCCGGACCTCGACTGGCTCGACGACAAGACGCGCGCCAAGGCCGAGGAAAAGGCCGACGCGATCCGTGTCATGGTCGGGTACCCCAAGTCTCCCAACACGACCGACGCCGTCGCGGTGCGCCGCTTCTACGACGACCTCGAGGTCGACGGCGCCGACTACTTTGGCAACCGGCTGCGCAGCTCGGCGCGCAAGGTGAGGCGCGACTGGGCCCAGGCCAACCGGCAGCTCGACCCGGAGCGCTGGGACATGACGCCTTCGCTCGTCAACGCCGAGTACTCGCCGCAGGGCAACTACATCCTCTTCCCCGCCGGCATCATGCAGCCGCCCTACTTCCACGTCTCGTGGCCGTCGTACCTGCAGCGCGGCTCGTTTGGCGCCGTCGCCGGCCACGAGCTGTCGCACGCCTTTGACCCGGACGGCCGCCTGTATGACAAGGACGGCTACCTGCGCGACTGGTGGAGCGAGGAGACGGCCAAGGAGTTCCAGCAGCGCCAGTCGTGCCTGGCGCGCCAGTACGCGCGGTACACGGTGCCCGACGGCAAGGGCGGCCAGCTGCACCTCAAGAGCAACTTTACAAAGGGCGAGGACGTGGCCGACGCCGGTGGGCTCGCCCAGTCGTACCGCGCGTGGCGCGACGAGCTGGCCCGGGGCGGCGCCGACGTCGAGCGGGCCAACGCGCTGCTGCCCGGCCTGGGCTACACGCGCGAGCAGCTCTTCTTTATCGCCTACGGCCTCAGCTGGAGCCAGAACTCGCGCGACAGCGAGCTGGTGCGCCGCCTGCGCACCGACCCGCACTCGCCCACGCGGTACCGCGTCAACGGCGTCGTCGTCAACAACCCAGACTTCCGCGAGGCGTTCGGATGCCGGCCGGGCAAGGACAAGATGGCCAAGAAGCCCGAAGACGTCTGCAGCATCTGGTAGTGCCGAGGGCGGCCGCCGCCGGTCCTGTGGGCCAGGTGGCAGAGGTCGACGGACGTCCGCCGGCATTCAAAGAGGCAGCGTAGATGTAGCGATGATGTCTATTCGTTTTCCGGTTGTTTCTTTTTTTTCTTCGTGCAATTCCGTGAAAGTTTTCGGCCGGCCTGCAGCGTTGCATCAGGCCCACTTGCCCAGCACCGACTGGAGGGCGGGCGATGGCAGCAGAGGGGAAATGTGGCAGAGCGGGACGAAGTCAGCACACGATCGGGGCAAGGTGGACTGTGAATGAAAAGACGGCTGGACAGGGCAGGGCAGGCAGACTCACCATGGCAGCCGCACCGGCCGTGACGGCGAGGACGGCGGAGATGGATCTGGCGTTGGACGAGTTGAGCATGCGCCTGTTGTGGATAAAGTCTACGCTGATGAGTTCGACGAGGGCCGTGTAGATGAGGATGCCGGCCGAGATGGCGTGGAGGGTGCCCATGGCGATGAGGGTGGGTTTCGAGTTGGAGTTAAAGTGGCGCCGGACGCCGAGGCCAATGGCGATACCGGTCGGCGTGGTGAGTGCGTATGCGGCGGCCATGATCATCTTGGTGGGGAGGGAGGTCGAGGAGCGGGGGAGGAGGGCGATTCGGCTTCCGAGGGCGATGCCTTCAAACAGCTGGTGGAACGTGATGGCGATCAGGAGCGCGATCCAGCCTGACCCGGTGGCCGCGCCCAGCGTGACGCCAATCAGGATCGAGTGGAAGATGATGCCCGCCTCGAGCATCCACAGATCGACGCGCTGCACCTTGGCCGCCGCTGCGTCGCCACGAGCCTGCGACTCCGCGGCGGCCGGAGACGTAGCGGCGAGGGCTGCACCTGCGCCTCGGCCACCGTCGCCGCCCTTGGACTCGTCGACGTCGAGCGAGGAGGTGCGCGTCATTCCACCGTCCTCGAACACGTCCGACGACGACGACGACGACGACGCAGCGAGCGCCCGGGCCCGCACCGACTTGAGAAGGAAAAAGTCGACGACGAACACGAGCCAGATGGACGCCATGGCGATGGCAGGGGCGGTGGATTCAAACTCGAGCTCGCTGTGCGATGGGACGAGGGGGGGAGGAGGGACAGCAGGTGGTGGGCAAGCGGCGGTCAGCAACACTTGCATGATGGTGCAGCTCCGCAACCCTCTTCCCTGCGCCTTTTTGGCGGACTCACCCCACACACTCGTTGGCAAAGTAGAGGACGGCATGGCTGAGGAGGTGGATAAAGGCGGTGCTGAGGATGATGCCCGTTCCGAAATGGCGACAGACGAAGAAGAGCTTCGAGAGGAATCCTTCCGCTTGCAGGCCGTCGACGTCGCCGCTGCCTCCTGCTGCTGCTGCTGCTGCTGCCTCCGGGCTCGACTTGGAGGTACGGCGTTGGAGGAGGATGGGCAGAAAGGTGCCCGTCGACGACGACGCGAGCAGGATAAAGATGGCAGCGACGTGCAGGCCCAGGTCGTAGTTCTGCAGCGGAGCCAGGCCGCAGCCGTACTGCGCCGAGGGGCCGTGTGCGTGTCCCGCGTGGTCGTCCGAGTGTCCGGCGTGGCTGTCCTCGCCCTCGATGCTGCTGCTCTCCGCCTCTGCCTCTGCTTCGTGGTCGTGGTCGTGCCCCTCCTCGTCGACGTGACCAGCGTGTCCCTCGTGCTCGTCTTCGTGCTCCGCATGGTGGTCCTCCTCGTCGTGTCCGACGGTGGCATCGCCCGCGCAGTCCCAGTGATCGCCGTGCAAGGTACACTCTCCCCTCCCCGTCGGAGCCGGCGGGATGGCGGAAGTGAGGGTGGGTCCAGGCGCGGTCGTGGGTGTGGGTGCTTGGCGGGGTACGATGTCGGCGCTGACGCTCCCGCTTGCGCTTGCCGCGAGCAGGAGGGAGGCGAGGAGAGGGAGGGAGGGGCAGAGGAACGAGGTGCGCATCGCGGTGTCGTCGGAAGGGGGGAGTCGGGTGGTGTCGATACGCCGACCGGGTAAGGGCAGCGACAGACACCGTCGTATCTATATACCGGTGCGGCCGCACCAGGCTCGTTGCCCGCACCGAGCCGTCGCCATACCGAAGAGCCGAGGTGGCAGGACGACGACCTTGTCGGTCACGATACGCGTCGTCCTAGCCTGCCTGTGCCGGGACCGTTTGTCGTCGGTGGCACCCCTCTCGCTGTTTGCCAACACTGGCCCGCACCGAAGCGCACCGGCAGCGGATCGGAGAGGGAGGATCCGAGGCGAGGCCGTCAACTAGCTGGACCTCGGTGGATCGACGTAACCGGCAAGGTGCTCAAAAATGCGCCGTGCTGGTGGTGCAGACATGGCAAGGCGAGGCGATGGAGGCAAGTCGAGGGAGGAAGAGGAGAGCAGGCAGGCCGGGAAGGAGGCCCGGGTGCGCCGCTGTCAGGTTTGGCCTGGCCTGATCAGGGCTTGGCGCCAAGACTGACCTGCGTGGCCTCAAAGGGCAAGCAGCAGGCAGGCAGGCAGGCAGGCAGGGCAGACGGGCCCTGTTTTGGAAATTCGACATCGAGCCCCCGCTTGCCCGCCTGTCGCGTGCCTCGCTCCTTGCTCACTCGCTCGCTCGCTCGCTCGTCTCGTCTTCCCGACCTCGTTCGGGTCGGATCCAGCAAGCAAGCAAGCAAGGGCATCTGTCGGCATCGATGCCTGCCTGCGTGTGTATTGCCACGACCGACCGCGCTACATAACCTCCAAGGTCCTCCAGTCCTCCGATGGACAGCATCCGCCCACCGGTCCACCCGCGACACCCGACCTGCTACTACTTTCTCCCTGCCCCCGCCGCCGACGACGACGACGACGACGACGGCTGCTGCTGCTGCTGCTGCTGCTGCTGCTGCTGCTGCTGCTCGACGAGCATCTTTGTCCAATCAACAGGATCCCACCACCTGCGAAACTCCCTCTTCCTCTGCTCCTGGTCGCGTGCACCCAGCCGCCTGGGCTTCCTCCACCGCCTCGGTTCCAGGTCGAGCTGGTTGCCGATGATCTCGGCCGCAAACCAGCGTGGAAAGTCGCCCCCGCTGCGCCCTCCTTCGTCGACGTCGAACGCGTTGCGGCTCTCGTGGTCCTGCATCGCCCCGTCGGCCTTTTCAATGACGTGGCCGTAGCCGCGCGTGCCGCGGTAGTCCCACTGCACCATAAAGTAGGGCAGCTGCGGCACCATCGTGTTGCGGAACCCTTTGGCGCTAAAGTCAATCACCTTGGCGTTGGTCGACCACTCGTCTTCCACCATCGATAGCGATTCCTGTGCGAGTCGACCACGTGCAAGGGCGACGGGGGAGACCGGGGCAGAGCGGATGGCGAGGGGTGGTCAGACACGCGCGCTCGCCCGACGTTAGCGAAGCCACGGCTGCTCACCTTGAAGATGCCAGGCAGCACGTCCATGACATCGTTGGGCACGCTGACGGCCTCAATGAGCGTGTGCTTCTGGTGCTTGAGGCTGAGCACCGTCTCGTAGAAGACGACCCGCTCGTTGCGCCCCGCGGCCGCCTGCATCAGGCACTTCATAAAATTTTTGATCTCGTCCCACGTATCCTCGTCGGCCTCGAGCGAGCACAGGTGGTGCTGCATCGGCACAATCACGCAGTGGCCCGGCGTCAGGCTCTCGTACTCGGGCAGCGCCAGGTACGCCCGCGTGCCGCTCGAAATCACCGTGGCCCGCGGCGGCGTCGCCCCCTCGTCCTGCCAGCAGTAGATGCACGTGTCGAGCACCTTTTTCGTCTTGGCAAAGTCTGTCGAGCCGGGAGCGGGGTGGAGAAGCATCGAAGAGAAGGCGAGCGAAGTCAGAAGGCCGATCGCTTCACGGCAATAGAGGCGCCGACGCCGCGCTGCTCACCTTGGATGGCAAACTGCCGCTTCATGGCGTCCGACTTCATCTTTTTCCGAGCCAGCCTCTCGGAGTTGTCGTCGATGTAGTCCTCGTCGTGCTGGTAGGCTGCGTCGTGCATAATGTGGCTCGCCAGCTCGGCGTCGAGGTCCTTCTGGTCTTTGGACCCGCCGCCGAAGCGCTCCTGCCGCACCAGGTCGGCCAGCGTGACGCTGTCGTCGTCGGCATTGTACCGCAGCCTCTCGCCCGTCTTGGCGTCGTGCGTCTCGAACTGAGCAGTGCGGTGGCCAAGGGTGTCAGCCTCTATCGCCTGCCATTGATCGAGTTCCCGGCTCTCGCATCTCACCTTTTCCTTCTTGCGCCGAGCGCCGGGCCGGCTGGCGTTCGGATCCTCGTCGCCGGGCGCACCGGTGCCGACGTCGTAGAGGCGACCTCGGCCGTCGAGCGTCGGCAGGACCTGGACCTCGGTCACCTCTGCGTCGCCTGCCTGATCGCCGGACGCCAAGGGGCGAACGGCACTAGTTGGTCCGCTGGTGCTAAAGAAGCCAGCGCCCCGGTCGCCGCCGCTCCTGGCGCGCGCGCTCTCGCGTTCGTACTCGTCCTTGAGCTCCTTTGCATTGGCGGCGCCCATGAGCTCGGCCCTCATCGCCTTGGCCTGCAGCTTGTTGAGCTCGTTGGCGCTCAGCGGCGGCTGCGTGTTGGCGTCGCGCGCCTGGCTCTGCTGCATGGCGTGGCGGGTCGCGTCGCTCGATGAACCGTCGGCGGCCGCCGCGGTATCGTCCGTCGTCGCGACCGTGCCCGCCGCATCGACGCGCGGTTTGGTGATGACGGGCGTGAAGACGCTCGGGATGGGCGTGCTGGGCTTGGTCGATGAGTCGCTGCGGCTGCCCGGTGTGTCGTAGCCGCTCTGCCGGAAGCTCGTGCCGCGAGCGACGGGTGCAGGCGTGGACGCGAGGGGCGTCGAGGGCATCGAAGCCTCGCCGGGCCTGCGGAAGCTCTGGCGGCTGCTGGGTCGCGACGGTCCCGCGCCCAGGCCAGCCGCGGGTCCAGGCGAGTCGGAGAACATGAAGCTTCGCCGCGTGACGTTCTGGATCGGTGTCCCCTTGCCCGCTGCCGCGGCGTTGCTGCCTGGACCGCCCTTTGGTTTGCCTTTTCCGTCGCCCTTGCCCCTGGCGCGATCGCGGTCGTCGAGAAACTGACGCTCCGCCCTGGCCTCGTTGAACTCGTCAAGGCTGGAGTAGCGCTCCAAGGCGACCTGCTCGACGGGCCGTCGTTCCTCCTCTGCCGCCTCGTACACCTTGCGGAGCTTCATCATCCGCCACTGGTGGCCGGGTGCCCCGTGCTGGGGGCGCTGGCGGGGCTGTTCGGCGTACTCGTCGACCGACTTGCCCTCTACGAGCTGCGTGTTGAGCTCCCTGCTGCTGATCTGGAGCTTTTCCGGGTCGGGCTTGTCTTCCTTTGCCTTGCGCTTCTTCTCCCTCGGTTGGCCTAGGTTGGAGAAGTAGTTTTGTTCGATCCTGGCCCGGGCGGCAGTGGCGTCGGTGGCGTCGTAGTCGTCGCCCTGGTACCGCGTACCGTCTGCCTGCGGTGCGCTGAGCATCCAGTCGTCGCGCTGCAGCTTTGTCTCGGTGAGGGCGTGGCCGGGCAGCGGTGCAGGGTGCGGGTCGCGCGAGGGGACCTGCTTGGAGGTGAGCGAGAGCGACTCGCTAGTGGGGATGTAGTCCTGGGGTCGATCCAGGGCGAGGTCGAGGGCGTCTGGTGGTTGTCCGATGTCGCCAGCATTGTCGTCGTCGATGATGGTCTGGCGGCCGTCGTCGTCGGCTGTGCGCCTGGTGTGCCTGCTGCTGGTGGTGCTGCTGCTCGGGCGCCCTGATTCATCCCGATGGCTGCGATGGTGCGAGGAGCGGTGTCGGTCTGAGCGGTCATCTTGGTCGTGACCCTTGCGCCTCTTTGTGTGTCTGTCGCGCGAGTCTCGATCGGCGGAGGGGGAGCCGGGGCGGGACGGGGAGCGGGAGCGGGAGCGGGAGCGCGAACGGCGCGAAGACCTGTGATGGGAGCGGCGTCGGTCTGAGCGGTCGTCGGTGTCCCTGTCCCCGTCCCTGTCCCTGTCGGAGCGGTGGTGGCGGTGTGAGGAGCGGTGGCGAAAGTGCGAAGATGCCTCTGGGTGATCCGAGTTGGCGGGTGCCATTTCGAGCGGGTGCGCGGCAGATGGGGGCGGCGGGTGGGCGATGATGGTGCGGGCCCGGTGATGGAGGGTGAGAGTCAGGAGGCAGAGAGAGAAACAGGCCCAAGCCGACATCATCGACAGAAAGTCGCCTTCCGCCGTGCACCAACGCTTTGCGTGTGGAGGCCTGCTGGCTGGCCGAGCTGGCTGCCCAACCGTCAGCCGACATCGGACATCGGTCTGCCATCCATCGCCTCGTCGTCCCGCCTCACCTCGACCCCCACCATACGACACCCCACCGCCACTAATGATACAGCCCTGGCCAGACTGCTGGCCACACATCGCCTGCGCGCCAAAATCAGCCAGCCGCACCAAAGCAGAGAGGGACATCGGACATCGTTCGATTACCAACATAGCAGCACTCTAGGGAAATGGCCTAGTACGGCGACGGCTCAAACGCCGGCCAGCCCTTGCGGCTCGGCGTCGCCGTCGGGACGCGCATCTCGCGCGGGAAGAGGCCAGACAGCCGCGATCCGCCCGCCACGGCCTTGCTCATCCGCCTCGCCTCGGCCCCCGTCGGCGCATCCGGCCGCGGCGCCTGGCCCGGCTTGGTGATCAGGCCCAGGCTCAGCAGCTTGGCGTGCTCGTCCGGGTGCCGGCGGTTGGGCGCCACCCGGTAGGTGGCCGACGCAAACAGCCGCTCGTCCTCGTGGCGCAGGTCGTCGAGCGCAGCACGCATCCGCTCCTGCTTGCGGTTCAGCCGCGCATTGAGCTCCTCGCGCTGCTCGCGCTGGAACAGCAGCCACGCACGCGTAATCGTCGAGTGCACCTCTTCCGACGCTTCGCCGTACGGCAGCACGTCCGACGCCCGCGTCGCACCCATCGCAGCGCGCTCGTTGTCCGTGCTCGGCGCGTTGGGGAACACAATCTTCTTGATCGCCTCGGTACGGCTGTCGGCCGCCGGCGGCACATAGTTGGGGTCGTTGGGGTTCCTCGATCCGCCACCGGCCGACTTGCCCGCCTGCGTAGCGTAGCCACGCGCTCCGCCCAGCGACGACGACGAGGCGGCACCGGAGCGCGAGCTCGAGGCAAAGGCACCGGCAGGCGCCGCAGCGGCACCGCGCGCCGCCCTCGCCTTTTCCTTGATCAGGTTGAGCGCCGATCCGGCGCGGATCCAGTCCAGGTGGGCCGCGCTGAGTGTGTGCTTGGTGGGCAGCTCAAACGTCTCGCGCACCGTCTTGCCGTCGTCCTCAAACTTGGTCACCCGCAGCTTGACCTGCGTGTCCAGCGAGCCGCCCGGTCGGATCAGCTCCGTCAGGTTGACCGTCTCGACCAGGTCGCCGCCGCCGATGCGCAGGTAGTCGTCCTCGTTCTCAAACAGCAGCGTCAGCACGCCCTGCTTGCGCAGGTTGGTCTCGGCGATGCGCGCGATGCTGCGGGCCACGATGAGGTTGCACCCGTAGAAGCGCGGCTGCAGCGCCGCGTGCTCGCGCGCAGAGCCCTCGCCGTAGTTGTGGTCGGCCACCATCATCCAGGGCTGCTGCCTCGCCTTCCACTTCTTGGCGACGCCGGGGATCGTGTCCGTCTCGCCCGTGAAGCAGTCGTGGGCGACGTTGACGGCGTCCAGCTCGCCGTTGGTGGCGCCGATGAGGGTGTTCTCGGCCAGGTTGCTCAGGTGGCCCTTGTACTTGAGCCACGGCCCGGCGGCCGAGATGTGGTCGGTGGTGCACTTGCCCTTGATGCGCAGAAGGCAGCGCATCGATGGCAGCTCGTACTTGCCCTCGGCCGCCGTGGCGGCAAAGGGGCTGTCAAACGGCTGCAGCGGCTCGAGGCGCGAACTGCTCGGGTCGATCAGCACCTCGGCTTCCGGCTGCGGCTCGGGCACGGGCCGCGGCAGGTAGCCCACGTCGCCCTGGGCGAAGCCCTTGCTAGGCAGCACGTCGCTCGACGGCGGCTCAAACTTGAACGGCTTGCCGTCCGGCGCCGTCAGGCTGTCGGTCATCGGGTTAAAGTCGAGGCGGCCGGCAAAGGCCATGGCGGTGACGATCTCGGGCGAGGCGAGCATGTTCCACGTCTTGGTGTTGCCGTCGTTGCGGCCGCGGAAGTTGCGGTTGAACGAGGTGAGGATGACGTTGTCCTCGCCCTGCAGCTCCTTGCGGTTCCACTGGCCGATGCAGGGGCCGCACGCGTTGGCGAGGACGCGGGCGCCGACGTCGCGCAGCGTCTGCTCGATGCCATCGCGCTCGACGGTGGCCCGGACCTGCTCGGAGCCGGGCGTGACGTCAAAGCTCGCCTTGACCTTGAGGCCGCGCTTCTTGGCCTGCTCGGCCAGGCTGGCGCAGCGCGCCATGTCGGCATAGGAGCTGTTGGTGCAGCTCCCGATCAGGGCCGCACTCAGCTCGATCGGGTGGCCGCGCGACTCGGACTTGGCCTTGGCGACAAACTGCGACAGCGGCGTGCTGAGGTCCGGCGTGAAGGGGCCGTTGAGGCAGGGCTCGAGCTCCGAGAGGTTGATCTCGATGCGCTCGTCGTACTCGGCGCCCTCGTCGGCGCTCAGCAGGCCGCGGGCGGCGGCGGCCTCGGCGCCCCTAGCCACCTCGGCGCGGCCGGTGGCCTCGAGGTAGGCCGACATGGCCGGCGTAAAGGCAAAGGCGCTGGTGGTGGCACCGACTTCGGCGCCCATGTTGGCCATGGTGGCCAGGCCGGTGGCGGGCAGGCTGGCCAACCCGGGACCCATGTACTCGACAATCTTGCCGGTGCCGCCGCGGACGGTGAGGCGGCCGGCGAGGTGGAGGATGACGTCCTTGGGCGTGCACCAGGGCGAGAGCTGGCCGGTGAGGTGGACGCCGAGGGCCTTTGGCGCGAGCAGCTCCCAGGGCGTGGCCGTCATGGCATCGACGGCATCGGCGCCGCCAACACCGATGGCGAGGCAGCCGAGGCCCGAGGCGTTGGGCGTGTGCGAGTCTGTGCCGAGCATGAGGAGGCCGGGCGCGGCGTAGTTTTCGAGGACGATCTGGTGAATGATGCCGGAGCCGGGTCCCCAGAACTCGATGCCGTACCTGCGGGAAGCCGACTCGAGGAAGTCAAAGACCTCCTTGTTGGATGCGATGGAGCGCTTGAGGTCGGCCTCGGCGCCCTCGTAGGCCTGGATGAGGTGGTCGCAGTGTACGCTGCTGGGAATGGCGACGCGGTCGAGCCCGCAGGTCATGAACTGGAGGAGGGCCATCTGGGCCGATGCGTCCTGCATGGCGAGGCGGTCGATGTTGAGCTTGAGGTACTTTTTGCCGCGGACGTTTGTGGGGTCCTTGCCGACGCCGGCGAGGTCAGCCTGGGCGTCCTTGAGATGCGAGTAGAGGATCTTTTCCGAGAGGGTGAGCGGGCGTCCGAGGAGGCTGCGGACCAGCTCGAGGTTTTCGAGCAGCTTGGCATAGGGCGGGATGCGCGAGGGGTGGAAGGTGGGCACGCGGGCGTCTGCTGCGGGCGTGGCATAGGTGCGGCGGGCTGCGGCGATCGAGGTCGAGGTCGATGAGCGGAGCACCGATGCAGCGCCAAGGGCGCGGCCCTGTTGCGCCTTTGCGAGGCGGGTGAGCATGGCGGGCGTCGGCCGTCGCAGGGCGGTGCGTGCAGAGGGAGCAGCGAGCAGATGGACGGCGAGAGAGAGACAGAGAGAGAGAGAGACAGAGAAGGGCGAGGGTAAGCGCAGGGAGGCGCGAGGGCCGGTCGCGCGAGGTCTATAGCGTGGCGCCAACGAAGCAGAGGGGAGGGCCGGAGGTTGTAGGCGGTAGGTGGTGGTGGTGGTGTTGGTGGTGGTAGCAGGGAGCAGCAGTCTCTCTGGCAAGCACGCGAGCAGGCCGGCAGGTGGGGGGAGCGTAGGGTCAAAGGCCATCCCAGCAGCTCCCGGCAAAAGGCCGCGAAGAAACCAGACAGCGGGCGCCAGCCCAACCAGCGACCCAAGCCGAAGGGGGATGGAAAAAATCCAAATCGCACGCCAAATCGGGCTAAGAAGTCGCCCGACCTGCTTGCTTCTTCAGCCAGACGGCCTACGCCAGGCCACGCCAGACCGGGCCAGGCGGGCGCGGCCCATTACAAATCCGCCAGGCCCCGCCCGCAAAATCAATTTCAGGAGGCCAGGGCCAGGGCCAGGGCGAGGCGAGTCACCCGCTCCGCTTTCACCCGCCGCCCGCCGCCCGCCACCCGCCATCCGCCATGCTCATCCTCCTCCTCCGCCATCGGTGCCGTTCCACACATCCCGCCCACTCCCACGATGCCCGACACCGCACACTTTCCCTCTCTCTATCTCTCTCTCTCTCTTTGCTCATGGTCGCATCGCTTCTTTGGATTTCAACGGTGACTCGTTCTAGGTAGGCCATCTAGGCTGCTGCTCGTCATCCTTGTCGTGCTAGTCGCCACGGTCGTCCCGGCCCGTGAGCGGACACTCATGGCTCTCTTGCCCACCTCTTCTATATGTCGTTGTGGTCGTCGATGTGCGGCTTCTATGGTTCTGAATGTGGTCTATGTATCGGGCCGGATCTGGGTGTTTAATGCTGGTGTGGAACGGCTGGTGTGGAACGGCAAGGCGGGGTATACGTTGGTCGGCGGCGTGGTGCGGCAAAGGCCCGGTGCCATGCCAGAGGGCGAGGCTGGCCAAGACGTGGCCGCGGTGATTGTCGATCACCTGCGAAAGTCATGCGTCCTGGTGGTCGTCTTGGTAGCCCAACATGATCATCTGCATCGGCGTCAGGTGCGGCGGGCCGACCTGACCCTCGGCTCCGGACTCCAGGCCTCGCGCCTCGGCGGCAGGGTAGCTCGGATGGTGATGCTCGAAACCGTCCTGCTGGTGCTGGTGGTCGTGGTGGTGGTGATGGTGATGATGGTGATGGTGGCGCGCGTCTGCGTGCTCGTGGTGGTCGTCGGCGAAGGCCACCTCGCGTCCTCGCGAGAGCTCGACGTCGCGCTCCGCTTCCGATTCGCCATAGACGCTGGCCGAGATGGGCTCGCGCTCCATGAGATCGCTGAAGCTCATCATCGTCCTCACTTCGACTGGCGTCGACACGTTGATGGGCCCGTCAAACCTCGGCGGCGGCAGGTAGCCCTGGTGCTGGAGGTGGTAGGCGTCGCCAACATGACTGCCGCCGCCGCCGCCGCCGCTGCGCATCGCGTGCATCGCTGAGCAGGCGTAGCCGTCCATATTGCCTCCAGGGCTGGGAAATTCGAGGTGCTCGCGGAGCATCGTCGAGCTCCTGGACCGCGTCGGCATCGGCTCAAGGTACGAGCCGTGCTTGAAAAGGCCCGCGGCCGATGCAGCCGACAGAGGAGGAGGCATGTCGATGCTATCCGACATCGACATCGACAGTGGCGACTGCTGCTGCACCGAGTACCGGTGCGCCGTCGTCCTCGGCTGGTGCTGCACCTGCTGCTGCTGTTGCTGCTGCTGCTGCTGCTGCTGCTCAGCATGGTGCTGCTGCTGATGGTGGTGAGGTTGTGGCTGATGCTGGTTCGGATGCTGGAGCGACGATCCTTGCTCCTCGACGTGCGGATGAGCAGGGTTCGACTGGTAGAGGGCACTCGGGCGACCAAGAATCTTGGCCTCCCGTGGTCCGTCCCGCACCTCGTCGCGGCTCTCCTCGTACATGGAGCGAGAGCTGGATCGTCGATGGCCCAGGCCCATGTGGCGAAGGGAGCGCGGATCGTCGACCTGGTGGCGGTCGTCGGCGACTCCGCGCTGGCCGGGCGCCTTTTTGCCGATCGACGAGATCCAGTCGCGGGCAGCTGCGCCCAGTGTGCTGCTCGAGAAGCTCTGGCGCGTCGGTCGCGCCTTTGCTGGTCCCATCTCGGCGATGCTCGGCAGGCTGAACTGGAAGACCGACTCTTCGTCCTGGGCGGCGAAGTCGACTCGACCCTCTCGCTCTCGTGCGCTGCTCCTTCGGTGGCGGCCGTCCTGCACCGTACCGATGCTGCCATCGAAGGCATCGCCGTCCTCGTGTCCCTGGGAGAGCTGCGACTGGTGATGGTGACGCTGGTGGTGATGAGAAGGAGCGGGAGGGGCGGGCTGAGCGCGAGACTGCTCGTGGCACACCGGCTCAAAGCCTCGGAGCAGGCCGTCGGCGTGCAGCGAGTGGACAGCCGCCTCGGTGGCACTGTGAAAGAGGTCGGCGGAGTCGAGAGGGTACGGCACCTCTTCGCTCGGTGCAGTGGCCGTGCCCGCTTGGCCAGACACGGCTGCGACGGGCGTGGGTGCGACCGAGACGCTGCCAAACGCAGTGGCAAAGCTGGTACGTCGAGGCGCCGAGACAAACATGGGCGAGACGAGGGTGGGGTCGGTGAACATGTTCCAGTGCGAATACTCGCCCAGCAGGTTGGCCGTGTTGGGCGTCGAGGGCATGGCGGTGCGCGGGCGCGTCGCGGCCATCCGGTCAAGCTGCTCGCGGTGCAGCGAGAAACCGCCAAACGTGGCCGAGGGCAGCACCTGGTCGTCAAAGGCGCCAAAGTGGGATCGGTGAAGCTGAAAGGGAGCCGGTCGGGGCCTGCGCTTCGACTCCGTCGAGCCGGCATCGGCCGGGTCCTCGGCTTGGTCGTCGTTGCTGTCCAGCAGGGGGTCGCGCCAGCCGTGGGACAGATCGACGTGCCTCGACATCGAATGCATGGTTTCGAGGGAAGGCTGGTCGGGCAGCCCGGCAGGTGTCGCGGCGGTCAGGTTGGCCAGATCGAGGCTCTGGAATCCCTCGGGCGGAAGCGAAGACGCGCGTCGTCCGAGTCGCAAATTGCAGGCGGCCGCCGAGGCGGCGGTGGCCGTGGCCGTGGCCGTGATCGTGGGCGTGGCGGCGGCTTCGCCCGTCTGTAGGGCCGGCGCGATGTCCCTCGACGTCGAAGCCGAGCCGATGGCCGAGTAGTTGTGGGCAGGCATCAGGTGAACCGGCTCGATGTGGACAGCCTTTGCGGCTTGATCGACCGCCTTGGCAGCCTTGACCTTCTTCGGGCGCACCTTGGCGGCTGCCGTCTTGCGCCTGCGCTCCTCTGCGCGCGCCTTGCGCTCGGACGCCGCGGCCGCCCTCTGCTCGGCCGTCATGGCCGAGCCGGGCTCCCGGGACGTGCTGGCCTCGGCAGGCGTCAGGCGACCCCCGGAGCTGCTGAGGATCATGTTGGCAATCTCCTTGCACTGCTCCTCGGCGTTGGGGAGCTGCTTGAGGTTGCGCTTGCGCGGCTCGGCCTTGCGCGTCTGGGGCTTGTACGTGTAGTCCGGGTAGAGGCGCTGGTGCTCGGCGCGCTCCTTCTCGGCCAGGTCGTGCCAGTAGCTCTTTTCCTCTTCCGGGGTGTTCTTCCACACCTCGGAGACGATGCGGCTGATGTTGCGGTGGTCGCTCTCGACCTCCTTCGGGATCACCTTTTCAGAGACAAAGTGGCTGCGGAAGAGGATAAAGGCGTTGCGGGGCCGCTTGACGTGGTCCGGGCCCTTTTTCTTGGCGTGCGAGACGCCAGGCCGCTTCGACGGAGGGAGGTAGTCGGGATCGCGCACACGCGGCTTCCGACCAGTCTTTTTGGGCGCCGACGACTTGGCCAGCTTGATCTTTTTAAAGGCGGTGCCTTGACGCGCCTGGTCGGCGGCGTCGATGCCATCTTCTGAAGGTGGCAAAGTGAGGAGGGGTGCGGGAGGCAGACGACAGGACGAGGAGGCGCAGAGCGGTGAGTGGTGGCGGCTCGATGTAGCCTCGTGTGCTGATGCTTCCGGCGGCCGTGGGAGGATGTTGCGACGGCATCGCCACGAAGCGCGCGGCCAGCCGAGCTTGCGGCTAGGCGCGACCCTAGAAGAGCCCCCCGACGACGCGCCCGGCACTTACCTGGCGTGGGGGCGATGGCGACGGCGTCATCACGTTGTCCCTCCTCCAGCCGCGGGTCGAGCTCGTCGGACGATCCTGCTGTTGCCGTCGCTGCCGTTGAGTCTGCGCTCGCCGATGAGGCGAGGTGAGAAAAGGTGGCGTGGAAGCTTGGAAGGACGTTCCAGTCGTCGAGCGACATGTCTATGCTGCCAGGCTCTGCAGAGGTCGGTTGTGGGGCGGTCCACGATCGGACTGGTTCCGCTGTGTCCAGAGAATTCCCCGACGACGACGACGACGACGACGACGGTGTCGATGCTGATGGTGGCAGCGATGCGGACGAGGCATAGCTGCCGTGCGCAGCGTGCGAAACGTCGCCGAGGGTACGGTCGTGAGAGGAGCCCGTTGGCGAGGTGACCTCGGCGGTTCGGCGAGAGGTGGCGCGCTGGAATGCGGCCCGGGTGACGATGGCGGGTCGCATAGCGGCAGGCTCGAGCTGAGCTTTGCGCTTGCGACGCTCGGTGAGCAAGGGGAGGTCTGAGCGGTGAGGGGGGGATGGTGGTGAGATCAAAGGGGAGCGAGGTGGCAAGGAGAGGTGAGCAAAGTGTCGTCCCAGTCAGACGCCGACCCTCGCGCTTGGCTGGGCGGGAGCGGTGTAGATGTTGGTGCGCGAGCTGAAGTCTGCCGGGTCGAGATGAAGTGGGCATTCCTTGCCCGCCTGCCCGCCTGCCCGCCTGCCTGCCTTTGCTCACCAATCGATCTGGCGAGGCTGAAGCTCGATGCTTCGGGGCTGAAGGCCTGCTGAAATGCCACACCGGCCATGGCCGAAGGGGACTGATGCCGCAGGGGGAAGGGTCCGTGAAGGAGGACGATTGCTGGACGAGGCCCGGCAGGGCGATCAAAGGGAGAGGTGGGTGAAAAGGCCGGGTTGGCGAGGTCCAAGCGTCGACCACACTTTATCAAGGCTTTCAAAGGGGACTCGAGAGAGGGCAGCACAGACAGCTAGGCAGCGTTGGGATGCGATACGTCCGCGCCAAGATGGGGCACCGAAGTCCTTCCCCTCGCTCGCCCTTTGCAGAGCGACAAGGAGAGAGCGGCGTCCAGCCAAGGCCAAGAAGAAAGGGAGCAAGGCGCGCGCGCGGGTACATCGGAAGCAGATGCGCAACAATGGCGACCGTGAGCTTAAAAGCTTCGACGGACGGAAGGCCCCTGCCGCCGTCTCACGGTGGGGAAGCAGCTCACCGATGAGGCAGGTCTCCTCTTTCCGCGCTGAGCGAGGGAGGCGTTGGGCAGCACGGGTACAGGATGTCTTGCACCAGGTAGCTCGATAGGAAGGTTGGCCAATCGAGGGGCAGGGAGTTAGCCCTGGTGGGATTTGGCCGTCAAGGGACGGCGAGAGATATACATACATATGGACGAGGGATCCGTCTCGCATCGCTGCAGCCTGCACCGGAGCAAGGCGCCTTGATTGTGTCCAGAGTTGCAACCTGAGTCGCATACACACCCATCCGCCGTGACGAGGTGCACCGGCGCATCGCAGCGCCTGCATCTGGAAGACAATTGTTGCGAGGGATATCGGGGTCAGAGAAGGGGCTGTCGCAGAAGACGAGATCCAGTCCATGTCATAGCCCCTGCTCCAACCTCTATGCAGCGAGCCGGCCAGGAGAATCAACCCCGGGCGGTCTGGACGTCACCGTTTTGCCGTGCTGGATGGTTTGGTACCGCCAGTTCAGGGACGCCCGTCGGCCCTCGAGCTAAGTGTGTGTGGCCTGGTCAAAAAGCTGGCACACGCGGGTGGTTCAGCCCGTCGAGGGACAGCGCTCGCATGCGCTGCGTTCAGGTGCTTTTCGGAGGCAGAGTAGTTACTGTACAGTACAGTATGTACGTACGGATCCAGGGAACGACGTTGAGCCCGATGGAGGTCGCCGGTGGGCAAGGCGCCCGTCGCGACGTTCGGGTCGGCCTGTCCCCACCCGGCGCCCGTAAGACAGGATGCTACTCGGCTTGAACGGCGCTCGCTGCCATCGCCGCCCGCCAGCTTGAAATGTACATATGTACATGGGCACGGGTGAAGCAGGACTGCCCGGCCGTGGCTCGACCGTAGGTTCGTGTGCGCAGGGTGATCTTTGACATGGCACAAGCAGCGCCACAGCAGCCTTTTCCAGAAGCTGTCATGTCACGCAGCTGGCAGGGCAGGCTTGGTCGCGGCCCGAGTTGGCGGTGCCGTTCGACAGCCCGACCAAGGGTGCGAATCTTGAATCGATGTGCCAAGTCCCTTTGTCCTCGTCGCGCCGCCAAGAGACCATCCTCGCGTCCCCTTTGTTCAAACAGAGGCCAGAAGCTCAGCCCGGCCGGGCCGGACGCTCACAATCGATCAAGGAATCGCAGGCCATCCTCGGGTGCCCTTCTGGGGCCTTTGGCGCCAGAACACGACAGCTAAGACCCGCTGCAGCAGGAACGACCGGCCGGTCGGAACGGAACAGCTCGATGGCTGCGCAGCGAGATGGATGGTGAGTCTAGCACAGTGTAGTCTAGTCGAGGCCAGCAGTCAAGGGGGCACGGCAACCCAACGATGGTACTGGACCCGCGCGTGTCCAAACTCCCGAGTCATTCGGTCGTGCACGTACGTATTCCCACAAACGACGAGCAGGGCTCCCTCACAGAATCATCCGAACCAGGGCGGGCGCCCGGTCCTATACGTACAGCGGTACGGAATGAGTACGGTGTGTGCATACATAGAGCCTTTGCGAGCGCAGCATGGCCCAGGGAGAGAGCAGGGCCGCTGGCTGCGATGCAATGCCGCCGCAGGTCGGCCACGGCGCGGCTTGTCACGGCAGAGCGGCAGCGTTGCGCTTCGTCGTGTGCCTCGCCTCTCGTCGTGTTGCCTCGAGGTGCACGCCATTGTCGCGGCCAGCCATCGGGGCGACGCGCAGACTACTGAACCTCCTGGATCCGCCGAGACAGTCTTAGTCGTTCAGTCAGGCTTTCCGATGCCGATGGCCGCGCCGGTATTCGACGCCCATGCGCAACGATCAACTGGACCGTTTGACCACACACAGGCAAGGACGAGCAGGGAAAGACGGGATGGGCAAGGCATACTATGGCCGGCTCCGCAAGTCGTCGACCTGCCGAGATTCGATTAGATCCAACTGGCTCATGCGACATCGGCAAGTGATTGGCGCCTTTCTTTGTCGAGCGCTGGAAGAAGGACGAGCTCGTGTCCGCCTTCTACTTGCAATCAGCGCCACACTCTGTCTCTTCTTGAGAGCTGGGTCAGAGTGGCTCGGGTATCAAGGCCACGCCAACGTCCAGCAGTGCGCGCCACCCTGCCCTTCCCTCCGTACTCGCGCAAGATTCGTGTTCCGGTGCCGTCAAGACGCCCGAGAGATGTCGCGAAGGGTACGGCATCCCTCCTGCGTTGCGTGGCCACGGCGATGTCGCAGATCTTCTGCGGTCTCGGGCCAACCTAGCCAGCCGCTGCTCCTCGAGGCCGCTCCCTCTTTGGTGTTGTACAATCACGTCTCCACCGGAAGAGCTCAAGACGTAGCGGCACATATGTAAACATGTCTGCAGTCATGCCTTTGCAGGCGATCCAGAGTGATAGACAACAATGGCTGGGACGGCCCGTTCACCGTAGCAGCTTATCGCGCTCTCGATCGGCATCAGAGCCGCGGACATCGACAGGTCCCGCAAGAACCGTGTTGCATGGACCTGCCTGTACACAGGCACACATGTACATGTGCCACTGCGCGCGAGGGGAACCGCCGTCTGTACAGCGCCCCGGTCTTGGTGCGAGTCGAATCTGCGGCGCCCGACCCGAGGTACCGTACGGACAAAAGGGACCGACGCCACCTTGTACTACTCTGCTGCTGCACGTACCTGCCGGTCACTTTCGACGTAGGACAATATACATATGTAATGCTGCTGTGCACGACGATGGTGTGCAGTAGTTGCACAAGGAGGAGGTTGGTGCGGGGGGCCAACCCGGGCACTGCGGCGACTTCGTATCAGGGTTGTCTAGATGCCCCTCTGCTCCTGAATTGCCCGCCTTCCTGCCTTCGCTTCGCTCTGGATGTACATATGTACCTGCCTACCTGCTTGCGGATCTGGAGCCGCCCTCTCGACTTTGATCCCTCGATCTCTTGTTCTCGTCGGATCGCATGACTGCTTTCGCCGCATCCCTTCATCGTGACACTACTGCGCCGTCGCCCAGGTGACAGTTCATGCTCTCCCTCGTCCTGTCTCTGCAGTCATTGGGTCCAGAAAGACACGTAGTCGAGCATATAGCCGCTGCAAGGGTCGGTTTCGTGCTCTCTGTCGATGCAACACGTACAGTCACGGCACATGCGGAGGTGCAAAGAAGGCGGTGGCTGGACATGTGATGGACGAGGGCAGGTGGTGGCCGGGTCGGCCGCATTGAACAAACAAAGCGCGCGCCGCCAAGCCAAAGAATCCTACCGTCGCTCGTCCACGGCCTCTCGCGTTCACCTCTGGTACGGTATGGTGTGTACAGGCGCAGGCACAGCGAACCCGGTGGAAGAGTCGAGAAGGGGTCCCGGCAACATCCCTCGACAACGCACCGTGTATTCTCACGAGACGGGTGTCGAAGCGTCCCCCCCATGAGGTTGGCCCAAGCTTTGGTCGGCGACAACTTCATCTTTCCCGATCACGCACAACAACGACCTGACACGGCGGCACTCGCCGGACATTCTCTTTCGCCTTGTCTTCCCACGCATAACAGACGATCGACAAACCCGACGATTGGCAAGGAGCCACGCCGCATTAAGTTACCTGTACCGTTCGCCGGTAACTTACCGCGTCTCCGTATCCGTTACCGCGGCTTCGTGGGATGGCGCTAGCACAGTAGCTGGCGCATCTCGGCATGTTTGTACCGTACCGTACCGTGGCATGGCGCCCGGATCTCGTGCGGACTTGAGGCCTCCGTCGAACACGGCGGCAAGGTCCAAGACGGCCCACGGTGCCCTTTGCTCGCTCGGGATTCTGACGTCGACTCGCTCGACACTGCCCGGGGGCCCCGTCGATCCGTCTGCCCTTCCCGTGTCTCTGTCCCACCGCACCGCACCGCACCGCACCGCATCGCACCATACGTTGGTCGGAACGGCACACAGTCCATTGTCTCAAGATCGCCCTCTACGTGCTCCCACCCGTCATGATATTCTCCCTCGCTCTGCGGCGGTTTGCGCCGAGCTGCAAGGTATCGTCCGCTCCTTTCCTCGCACCGCCAGCCAATTATAGAGTGCGAGGGCGAGGTAACAAAAGGCAAATAAGCCGCTCCGCGCGCGCGCATCACGTCCCGGCGAACCCTCGCTCTCTTTCTATTCTTGAGCATGGCATCGCATCGCCTTTGTCCTCGACATTGATCTCGACCTCTTCACTGCACACATCGCACGGTCAACGCACCGCCGCATGCGCCCGGCCGATTCAGTTTGACGCGTACCATCACAATGTCTGGCCGCCTGGTGCCCACCACGACCGGCGAGGGGCGCCCGAGAGAGCTGTATGCAAGCAGAGTCGGTTAAACCGGCCGCCGCACCGTGGTTGGCGGGTACAGGGTGGTTGAACCGCCGCGGTGCGACGCCAGACGGCTGCCCTGGCCGAGAGACGTCGGTCTGGGCCGTCTCGACGGGCTCATCCATTCGCTCGCAAACGTCTCCCCCGTTTGCTCCTATCTCCGACCGCCGTAGCGCTCCTTCACAAGCCCGACCCCGACCCCGACGCGGAACCTCGACGCAGACCTAGGCGTTATTGCCTCTGCCTACCAAGCTCGCTCTCTCCTTCTCTCATGGTCGGCCGGCCTTGCAACTCCCATCCCATCCCCTACTTTGCGTCAATCCTGCATCCCGACCTCCTGCCCTCCGCCCTCTCGATGCGATCTCCCGTCTGCTCCCGGCGCGCCGTTGGGCTGAGGCTCCGCCTCCGCCGTTTGACGCGGCGGCGGTGGTGGCTGCTGCGGCTGGTCGGACTTGACCGCGACAGGCCCGGGCCGCGACTCGCTCGGCCGGCGAGAACCGCCGACCTCGGCCTTGGCCGCGCCCGTCTCTGCCGCGCGCGAAGGCTCCTTGACGCGCGAGACATTCTCGGGCCGCCCAGAGCCGTACATGAGCAGCTGGTCCGCGTACCGCTGCATCTCGTCTAACGGAATCGTCAGCCGGAAGTCGTTGAGCAGAAGGAACTGCAGCTCCAGCTGGTTGAGCTCGTGCACGGGCAGCCCGCCGACCTGGATGCGACCGAAGGGCCATCAGAGGAAACACCGAGCAAGCCCAGAAGGCTGTCAGCCGACGGCACCGGATGCCCGAATGCCACGCCATCGGGCGAGCCACGATGCGGCGACCGATCGGCTCATCTGCCCCTGCCTACTCACCTTTGCGTATCTGCTGTTGGTGTAAAAGACGTCGCTGAAGAACTTGCTCGCCACCGTGACGCCAGCGATCACGAGCCGGTGCACGTTGTAGCTGTCGATGGCGAACCCCTTGATGCCCGGGTGGGTGTAGGCTTCGGCCTCATTTGCAGCGGCTCCGACGCCGCCCCCTTCGGACGGGCCCGGAAGACCGGCACGGGTGGCCATCTCGGCGGCTCGTGGGAGGCCGGCCGCCTCGCCGGCGATCTCGGTGTCGCTGTTGGCCCCTGGCTTGGCGCCGGTGCCCATCCGGCTCATACGGTCAAAGTAGACCAGGAGGCTGAGGAAGACCTCGTTGGTCGTCGGGCAGTATTTGAGGATCCGCAATAGGTACGACTCGATGCTGATGCTGGGGACGTTGCGGGCGTGGAAGCAGAGCGTGCTCGACGGCGTCGCCAGGGCTCCCAGGGCGGCCGTGGTCGTCGACGGACGCCGGGCGTCGTTGAACGACAGGTGCGCGCCGGCGGCGTAGGGCTGGGTCCGCGCCGCATCCGCGTCGTTCGGCGTCTGGCTTGACGACGATGTCGGCTCCTTGCTCCGCGACTTGGATCGCCTCGACCCCTCCGCCTTCCCAGACTCGGTGCGGAACTCGTCGTTGGCAGTGGCAATCTCGTGCAGCAAGGTGGCAAGGACCTTGAGCAGTTCCTGCGGCGGGAACGTGGCCAGGTTCATCTTGGGAAGCTGTGGCGTTCTGGGCGCCGCCGGTGTCGACATGCTCGCCGCAGCGTGCGCAGACGGAGAGCGCGGGCCCCGACCAGAAGTCGTCGAGGCAGGGCTGCGGCCTGACACGTCTACAGTCCGCGTCCGCGGCGAGACCCGCATCGTGGACGCTGTGTGGGAAGAGTCGCCGTGGGGCAACCCCGGCTGGTACTGCGACGTGCCCGCGCTCCAGGACCGATCGAAGGGCGCCTGAGCGGATGATGCACCGGGAGCGAGAGTCCCCGGCGTGGAGCGTTCGACTTCGGCCGCGATCCCCTGGTGGAACGGGGTCTGCCGCGCTGCAGGATCCGCGTCATGGCGTCGCGGTGCAGGGCTGGACGATGCAGTCGTCACTGTTTCCTTTCTGGTCGTCGGTCTGAGCTCGCCCGAAGCCCGCGAGCCCCCTGGACTGGTCCGCCGCGTCTTTGCCAGGGGCCCGCGGCTTGCCTCTGGACTGGTGCCAAAGTCGTGGACGACGCCGGCGTGGACGTTATGCTGGTCGATCGCCATCGGCTCGTCGTGGCCGTACGGATGGACATGGCTGCTCGAGGCGACGGCCACCGATGGCCAGCCCGCTTCAAACCTCCGCGAGGCCTGCTGCGACATGGCAGGCGAGGATCCACCGTGTGCAATCGAGGCGAGCGCGGGTTGGGTTCGCGATCCGACTGCCGGTTCGAAGCCGTGGTCCATTGGGGGCGGTTGGGGACGATGACCGTAGGCTGGGTCGGCGACTAGTGCGTGGCGTGTGGCCTGCTGTTGCTGCTGCTGCTGCTGCTGATGCTGCTGCTGCTGGTGATTGTGATGATGATGATATTGGACGTGCTGATGCTGCTGGTGTCGGCCTCGATGAGGCGAGCCTTCGACGTCGTACTGCGCCTGCCAGATGCCCTTGGTAGCGGGCGAGAAGCGGTAGGTGCCGAAGCTGTCTGTGGCCGTGGACGGGCTGGTGTGGACCGACGAGGTATCTGAGGTAGCAACCTGACGAAAGGACGATGCGGATGACGAGTAGTGTGACCCAGAAGACGATGATTGCGAGGACACGGGTCCTGGTGAGGATGCGCTAATGTTTGGACTCTTTGAAGGCATGATCTGGAGCCAGCCTGAGCGGGATGGGCGAGGCGGACAGTTGGAGGATGTCAGCACGGCAGCACAACACTCCGTGCCGTGGGAGGCCAAGCATCGGACGACGGATCGAGTCGCGGCGAGGACGCACTCACCTCCGAGTGTGGGGCTAGGGGCGTGGGTGCGAGGCACAGGGAGCTGTGCTGGTCAATAGAGGCAGGGGCCAAGGCAGGTTCCCGCTCGTGTATGGCGGCGCAAGTTGACCTCGCGGCTGCTGGACGGCTGACGGGCCGGCGGAGGGCCTACGAGTATCCCGCGGGGATGCAGCTCAGACGGGCGGCGGGAGCGTCGGGCGCGATCCGATGGGCTTCCTCCGATGCGCGGGCGGAGCCGTTCGGCTTGGTTCCGGTGCTGCGCCGGGTAACAGGTCGCCAGCGGGTCGACTCCGACGGTCGATCGAGGTGCCAGCTAAGACTCGGTACGTATGGCGTCGCCTTGTGCAGGTCTTACGACGGCGACGGAGGCAGGAGAGGCGCCCTGGCGTGAGAGAGATGGGAGCAGTAGGCGTTCGCGGAGAGACGGGGAGACGTGCGATGGCGCTAGTGGTGATGGTGATGACAATGTTGATGGTGGTGATGGTGATGCCGGTGAGCCCGATAGTGGCAGAGAAGCGACGGCCGCGGCAGGATGCGCCTGCTCGTGATGGCGGCGGCGGCGGCGACGAACGAGGCCGGGTCGCAAAAAGAGTAGCGCAGCGAGGCGAATTCGCGGTCTGATCGCGTTGGTTTGCCTTGGCGGTGGAGGTGCCAAGCTGGGCGAGAGCGGCTCAGCGGCCTTGCTGCTCTGCAGCTCGGATGGTGGCTGGTTCTAGGAGGATGAAGGCGTAGATGGCAGGGCCGCAAGGATGGATAGAATGTCGACGTCGTCGGCAGTCGTCGTTGGCGGCAAAGCAGCTCAAGAGGTGGCGACGACAGCGGCGACGGCGGCAGCGGCGGCGGCGGTGGTGGAGGAGGAGCGGAGGTGCGGGCGGCGACGAGCGCAGCGCAGAGAAAGGGGAGCAAACGCACCCACGGCCAAAAAGGCCCAGGCTGGCATGGGTTGGGCCGGGCCCCTCGTGCGTGCGCTCGCTTGCCCGCTTGCCCGCTTGCCTGCTTGGCTCTCTCTCCTCTCTGGCCTGGCCTCGGGATGGCCCGTCCCCCCTGGCGAGGCCCGGCCTGGCGCTGGACCCGCGTCAAACCAAACGACCGCCCGCCCACCTGGCTTGCTTTGCTTTTTTTTCTCCCCTCTCTGTCTGCCCGCCCGCCCGTCCGGCGCATTTCTGTCTGCCCGCCCCCAAGCAGTAGCAGAGCGAACGTGCGCCCCCCCCCCCTCTGAAGCAACAACAGCGCAAAGCAGGCGGGCTTCAGCAAGGCTCCTCGCTCGCTCGGCCATTCGGACCAAGGCGCACGCCGCACGCCATCGAGTCGTCGTCCTTGAGGCTCGTCCAAGCGCCGACCAGCTGGGGACCGTTGGCCAGGCGACGAGAGGCAGCAGAGAGAGGAGACGAGTGTCGGATCTTCTGTTGGACCGTCGCCCCGGCCAAGCGAAAAGATGACCCGAGGACACGTCCGTGCGCAGGCGGGGGACCCGCTCCCAAGGGCCACCTCCCATCAGCCTGCCTGCGTTATCGTATCCTGACACACGTCCCAGCCCCCTAAGACGACGAGCGACGACGGCAAGAGAGATGCCAAGGCCGGAGGGCCCAACGCACTCGCCAGCTTGCTTGAGAGGAGCAGGCTAGTTAGGACCGTCGGTAAGCAGGCAGGTCGGTCGGTCGCCCGTCGGCCAACGCCGAGAGCGACCGAGCAAATCTGGCACGTGTCGGGCTGGGCTGGGCTAGGCCGGCCTGGTCTGGCCCCACTGCCTATGTCTTCCGCTGCGGCCGACCCGCCACCCGACGCTCACAGTCCAAGCAGGTCGCCACTCCTGACCTCTCTGGCCGGCCTCGGGAGATTCGCGAGGCAACCGGCTCGCTGCGGTCTGCCTTCGTTTGCTGCGGCTCCTGCCAATGAAACGGCGACGGAAAAGGGCTGCGCTCCGATTCATGATTCGTAAGGGGGTGCCGCTACGGCTGCTGCTGCTACAAATGGACAAGGACCGCTCCACTGGAATGACGACCGCGGCCGAAAGATTGAGGATGACGACGAGGGCATGGGACCGCGTGGGGAAAGAGGCAGCAAAGAGAGACTAATGATGTGCGAAGGAGTTGAGCGCCATATGGACAAGGTGGTTGGCACAGCGCGGTTGGACGAGGCAAGCTGAAGCGAGAGGATATCTAGGACGAGGATTGCTGGTATTTACAGAGGATGCCAATGGCCCCGCTCGGATCGTCAGGCGAGGAGCGGGCCACAGGTCGATGTCCGTCGCGGCGTCGTGTGGGGCTCAACGGCCGCCGCCGCCGCCGCCGCCGCCGCCGTAGCTCTCGTAGTAGTTGGCCGACGGCGGCGGTCCGGCGGGCGGCGCAAAAGACGCCTGCGGTTGCGGCATACCGCCACCACCGTTGTAGGGGAAGGCCGAGGGAGGGTGTGCACCGTTGTAGGCCGAGGGGTCCACCCAGTGCGAGTGCGAGTGCGACGGCGGTCGCGAGGAGCGTCGGGCCCCGTGGCCCGGAGCCGTGGAGCTGTACCTTGCGGGCGGCTGCGGCGCGTTGCTGCTGTTGACGCTGGTGTGGACGCTGGGATCGGTGCCGTTGGCGTCGCGGCCCACGTTGTTGTAGTAGGGGGCCGCGCCGGGGGGAGGGCCGGCGGAGACGGGCGCGTTGGTGCGGTTGGCCTTCTTGTAGCCCTTGCCGCCGCGCGAGAAGCCGGTGCAGCAGCATCGCAGGAGCGCGCCGAGGATCGCCAGGACAATAATGGCGATGACAATCGTGACGGGGATCGAGATGCGCAGGTTGTTGGTGTACCATCCGCGGAACGTGTCCTGCCACGATCCGGACTTGCACTGGCCGTCCTCGCAGCGGCCGCCGTTGCCACAGCTGGTGCCATCGACAAACGTCTGCTGGAGGATCAGGCAGCGATTGGCCGTCGACGGATCTTGGCACGTCAGCGAGCAGCCGTTGGCGTTCGAGGCGCTGCAGGCGCGCGAAAAGCTCATCGAGCCGGTGGACGCCTGCCGGCACTGCAGGTCGCGCGAGGTGCAGAGGCCGTTGGCGCACGACAAGCCGTCGCCGCACGAGGAGCCGTCCGACTTCTTCTCGTCGGCGGGGCATTCGGCCGAGGTGCCGTTGCACGTCTCGGCAGTGTCGCAGCGAGAGTCGAGGGCGGGACGGCAGACCTGGGTGGCAGGCGCATAGTTGCACTGCGACGTGCAGCACGGGCTCGTCTCCGGGTCGCACTGGGAGCCCGACGTCAGCTTGCACTGTGACGTGCAGCATCTCGACCCGTTGGGCCCGGCATCGCACTCCTCGCCGGGCTCCAGGATGCCGTTGCCGCACTGCTGCGTGCTGAGCGTCGTGCGCCGGCCGGGCGTCTCGACGCACGACGTGTCCAGGCCGCGGCCGAGCATCGAGCAGATGTTGCCGATCGAGCACTGGCTGAAGCTCTGGATGTTGTTCTGCGACGACGGGTTCATGATGTGGTCGGCGCCGGCGTCGCAGGTGGTGGTCGAGAGCGGGCAGCAGGTGGCGCCGCCGTTGGCCACCGCGTAGCCGTCCGTCAGGCTGCATCCCTGCGTGCAGTCGTGGATGGCGCCAAAGTTGTGGCCCATCTCGTGGGCCATCACCTGCCACTGCTGCGGCGTGATGGAACTGACGCCGGTGCCGCTGACGTACTGGCCGCTGCTGCCAGAGGTGTCGGTCATGCAAAGGGTGCCGAGCCACGCCACGCCAATCTCGCTGCCCGAGTTGCAGGTGGTCATCAGGTGCCAGAGACCGACGCCGTTGGCCGGCTGCTGGCCGCGCCACTGGGAAAAGGCGCTCAGCCGGTCGTCGATGTTGTTGCTCGCCGAGCAGGCGACGTTCCACGGCGCGTCGGACGGCGTCGAGGACGGGCACGCCCCGCTGCGCACGTCGAGCTGCACGACGCCGAGCGAAACGTTGAACGTGGAGCGGTAGAGATTCGACGCCGAGTTCATGTTGTTGAGGATCTCGGTCCGCGCACCTTCCTCGCCCTCGAGCCTCTGCGTGTAGGTGCAGTCCGAGGCGACGCCGACGTAGACCACCCTGGGGCTGCTGGGGCATCCGGCCGTGGACCCGATCGAGTCCTCGTACGAGTTGGTGGCGTTGCCGCCGTTGCCAATGTCGTTGCCGGTGGCCTGCCTTCTGCCGAACGTCGCGCCGTCGGGCGTCAGGTAGTCGAAGTCGTACACGTAGCGGCGCTCCGCGTCCTCGGAGCGGCCCACCAGCTCGTCCTGCGTCCTAGCTTCGACGTCCGACCTGCCAAACCATCCGGCGACGCCGCCAAAAAGATCGCGGCGCGCGAACTTGGCAGGCGAGGGCTTGGCGAAGAACGAAAAGGCCGAGCGGCTCATCTCGTCGTTGAAGGCGTCGCTGAGGATGAGGTGGCTTTGGTTGTTGTAGCTCAGGCCGTCGCTCGAGCAGCCCTGCCTGGAGGCGACCTCGACCGACTCGATGCCGGCCTCGAGTGCGTCCCGCTCGGTCATGATGTCCGAGTCGCGGTGGAGGATGAGCGAGTCTGCCTCGAGATGCCTGCGCTCGAGCGCCGGGTCGCCGTCGCTGCGCTTGCGGTGGTAGTTGCGGCTGGTCGCGATCGTGTGCTGGTTGCCCATCCAGTCGAACGAGCCCTCGACCTTGGGCGTGCCCGACTCGGACCCATCGTCGTGGACCAGGATCGAGGCTCGCCCGACGACGCCCAGGTCCCTGTCGCCGTAGATGTCGCGTCGGACGCCGGCGCGGTCCTCTTCGAACCTGCGGTCCGTGTGGCTGGCGTGGACGACGACGCCATGGTAGGCGCGGACGTCGTGGTTGTGCAGCCGCTCAGTCTTGCGGACGTAGCTGCGCCCGGACGTCTCGTTGTATTCGTAGTAGTGGACGAGGGCGCCATCCGGGTGCAGCAAGTCGTCGTTGGGCTGGAGGTGGATGTAGAACTGCTGCGAAAAGGCGCGGAGGCTAAGGCGCAGCGAGTCGGTGGGCACCACGGTGGCGGGCGAGCGCCTCTTGGGTGCGTTGTTCGAGGCCGAGCCTCGCCTCGCGTGATCGGTGAGGCGGGACGCCAGGTTCTCCTGGCGTTCGATGATCTCGAGCCTCACATCGGTCGCATGCGAGATGCGTTGGAGGGGTCGAGGGCGCTGCGAGTGGGCCGAAGCCAGGGTGGCAAAGAGCACGAGCGAGGCGATGAGCACCGCCTGTGCCGCCAGCCGCAGCGAGCGGCAGGCCTGCATGGTGGCGAGGGCGGGGCGCGAGGCCGCTTTTGAGCTGCAAAGAGCAGATGGGGTCGCGGCGGTGGACGTAGATGTACCGGTTCGTGAATCGAATGGGTCAAGTGGCGTGGCGGCGGTGCCCAGAAGGTGAAGTGTGCGTGACTGCCCTGGTGATCCGGCGTCGAACGCTGGCAGACCGGCCCGTGGAGAGAGGAGGGATTCTGGTTGATGCGGTGGGCCAACGGGATGCCGAGAGCGTCTTTGCCTTTGTGCAATCGGGCCGATGTCGATGAGCAAGGCGGGGAGAACGATGGGCCACTCGTCCGCGGCCGTCGCGGGCTGCTGGTCGTCGCGAGAGAAACAGAGGCGCTGGAAAGGCCGGGCGGAGTGCAGCAAACGGGAAACGAAGCGATGGAGAAAGGAGATGGGCAGCGAGAAGAAAAGGGACGGTGATGGTCGGGCAACAAGAAGAGGCGAGGACGAGAAGGGACGAGCACAACGGAGCAGGCAGAGTACGTAGAGTAGTAGTGTGTGGTTTGGAGGTGGCCTCCGACCAGGAAGGGCGGGGAAAGGGTGGCGGTGTTGGTGGAGCGGCCCGCAGCCAGGAAGGCGGGCGGCATGCCGAGGCTAGGCCAGGCCGGCACAAACATGCAGCCAGGCGGGCAGCTCGGCAGGCCAAGGGCCATAGCGCAGGCAAGCAGCGGAGAGACAGAGGGGCCAGAGGCGTAGGCCAGGCTAGGCAGCGGGCCTGCCGCGCACAAGGCGAGGCAAGGGTCGCTCGCTCGCCGGCCTTGCTTAGCTTGCTCGTTTGCTGTCCCCACGCGGGCGGCCTTCAGATCCCAGCTCCGAAGCCGCTGGCGCCGCGCCGCATCTCGGGAGCCTGGCTGGCTAGCTTGCTGGCTTGCTCCTGTCCAGCCGGCTTGGCAGTCGGTTCCCTGCCTGGATCTACGCCCGCCTCTCCGCCACGACAAAATAGCCATCCGATGGCCGCAGCTCGCAGCACCTCTCCAGCACGCTGCCTGGCGTTGGATGATATGGTGGCCAGCATCGGCCAGATTTGCTTACGACGGACGAAGAGGGTTTCGGCCGGGCCGAAGACAAGAGGCGGGCGCCCAGCCAAGAAGCGGTCAAGCAAAGAGGCGGACCGCCCCTGCCTGCCTGCTTGCCTGCCTTTGTGCCAAGACCCTTGGAAGCCGTACCGGCCAATCAAGCCCCGCGTACGGCACGCAAGGCTGCTGGCTGGCTTACGATGCGCTGAGCCCAAAACAGCCCCTCGCCGTCTCCCTCTTCTCTCTCTCTCAAGTCGAGTGGGCTGCACGCTTGTCTGCTCCCACAAGGCCACGCCAATCGGCAGTTCCGCTTCCGAGAGACGAGAGAGAGAGAGAGAGAGAGTAGTGGGGGAGGGTCGCACGACCAGCACCAGACCTGCCTGTGTCGGTCGCGTGCACAGGAATCGAAGCTCGAGTTCGATGATCTGGTAAGCTGCTCCACGAGGTGGCGGTAGCGGTCGGCAGGTGAACGACCGCTGCCCTCCAGCAGCGTTGTCGCCCCATGCTGCGCTCGCCTTGGCGCAGCCCGGGCCTGTTCCGACGGCGAACATCGGAACGGTTCCGGTGGCCTTCACCCTGGCATCGGGAGCAGGCCACCTTCCCTGCCTGTGTGACCTAGCCTGGCAGAAGCAGTGCACCGCCTCTTCTGGCATCCGGCGTTGGGCGAGTGGGCAAGGAGTGAGCCAATGCTGCCGCCCTTCGTCCTTCGGAACCGCATGCGAAGCCCCAGGTTTGGGCCCCCTCTGGACGCCGCTTCGAAAGCTCGCGATGTGCGCCGTCAACCCGGGCTCATGCCCCCGGCGGCCGGCAGACGTCCGGAGGGCGCTCCGCGGTGAAGAGCGGGGCGACGGAGTCGAGGTTGCGCCAGAGGACCGTGAGTCTGGCCATAGGCCTGCGCAAGGCCTCTGCGTCGCTCGACGCTGGTCCGGTGGCCGGTAGAGGCAGGCAGAATACCTCACGCGACAGGGAGATGGGCTGCGAACTCAGCACATCTGCAACGAAAGGGAGAGGTGGCGACCCTTTCAGGCCATCCGCGGACGGGCCAAAAGGCAACCCAGCTTTGTTCAAGGGCCATCGCAGCAGAGCACAGGCAACGCGAGGTGGTGTGATGCTTATGTGGATCTGGATTGCCCAAGGCAGCGGCCGTCGAGTGTGTGGGGGTTACACGAGCGGCGGAGCCCGGTCAAGGTGGGCGAAGCCAGGTGGTGGCTAGCTAATAGTACAGGTCGAGGCCGGGAAGAGAGAAGAAAAGGGGGGTTGGGAAGAGAAAGGCGAGAGACAAGAGGGACACCAGCTGCAATGTGAGACCGATCGGTATGGGAGTGTGTGTATGGGAGCGAGGGGCGAGGGCTGCTTAGGCGCCGAAGCCGTAGAGGGTGCGTCCCTGGCGCTTGAGGGCGTAGACGACGTCGAGCGAGGTGACCGTCTTCCTCTTGGCGTGCTCAGTGTAGGTGACCGAGTCGCGGATGACCGACTCGAGGAAGAGCTTGAGGACACCGCGGGTCTCGTCGTAGATCAGGCCCGAGATACGCTTGACACCGCCACGGCGAGCAAGACGGCGGATGGCAGGCTTGGTGATGCCCTGGATGTTGTCGCGCAAGATCTGTTGGGTGGCGAGGAAAAGTGCGAAGAGGGAGAGGTGGCGAGGCGAGGTCAGCGCGCCGTGTCGAACGATGCCGGGTGGCGTGGCAGTGTGGCGAGGCCACGAGTGCTACCGCCCGCATATTTTTTATTTTTTGGAATCCGATCCCAACCCCGGCCGGAAGCTGAGGGCGGGCGGGCGGGCGGGCGGGCGGTATGCTGGGGGACGCGTCGCTGGGAAAAGGAGAGAGCCTGGAAACTCACCTTGCGGTGGCGCTTGGCGCCGCCCTTGCCGAGACCCTTGCCGCCCTTTCCGCGTCCGGACATTGTGTGAGAGTGTGTGTTGGGGGGTGGTGAGAGGGAGAAGGTGTGTTGTTTGCAAGAGTGCTTGAGTCGCTGTGGAAGGCGTTGAGAGAGCTGGATGTGGTTGTGTGATGAGGGAAGAGAGGGAAGGAAGAGACCGATAGCAGGCCAGGGTATTTGTAGGATTCCAAGGCCCAAAGTCGGATTGGCAGGGGCGGGGGGGCGAGGGGGGGACGCGCCGTGCGTGTGTGCTGGCGGGCAGGCAGGGCCAGGAGGACCGCCGAGCGCCATGGTACGGTGCAGGCGCAGCAACAAGCATGCTCGGGACAGGTCAGCCAGCCAGGCAGCGGGGGGTCAGGCCCGCTCTGCCACGTCGAAGCACGGCCGGGCAGACCAGCAGGCAAGAGATGATGCACTCGGCCTGGCCTGTTTGCACGCGCGCGCGTCTGCCCTCGCCCGCTCGCGCAGAGAGGCCAGGCCAGCCTTGGCAGGCAGGCAGGCAGGCAGGCAGGCAGGCAGGCAGGCAGGCAGGCAGGCAGGCAGGCAGGCAGGCAGGCAGGCAGAGCGGTCTGACGGGCTGCATGGATCCCGGCGGCCAACCGGACGGTCTGGCAGGGGCACCAGGCGAGGCAGGGCCGGGGTTGGTTGGTTGGTTGACGGGCGCGGCAGGCCAGGGTCCCGCCAGGTCTGTCGGCGATGTGTGGAGGGCCGAAGCGGCCGCGAGAAAATCCCGGGAGACTCGACGAGGATCAGCGCCAGGTCTCGCCCGCGCCCGCCAGGCTGAAATTAATCACGTTCACCTCGTTTTGATCCGCTGATCCCTGGCACTCTCCCGTAATTTTCTTTGGCGCGTCGTGGAACCCTCGACTCTCCCGTCATTTTTTTCTCCGCGCGTGCTGCCTGCCGTAGGCGAGCAGCCCCCCCTGGCATTTTTTAGAACTTCCTCTGGCCGAGCGCAGGGCCGACATGCCCGCCAGCCGGCCAATCGAACACGACGCGCCGACCGCGCTGCTCCTGTATCGACCGCAGATCGAGAGCAAGCAGAGCAAGCAGAGCAAGCAGAGCAAGCAGAGAGAGAGAGAGGATTCTGGCCCACATGCCTCTCCGCCCTCGTGCATCATCCGGCAGGCAGCAGAGGGGCCAGCAGCCCGCCTCGCCCCGTCGCCCGTGATTTGAGAAATGACGGGAGACTCTGCCCCAAGGGCCAAGCTCCACGTACGGCAGCCCGAGCGCCGGGCGTGGGTGTGATTCCGTCGTTTGCGTTGGGCAGCAGGCCTGCCTTGGGCTAGGCAAGGGGCGGTGCAGGCAGGTGCAGCGCTGGCCCCCCCACTGCACCGCCTGGCTGCCTGCTGGCCTCTCTTTCCGCGAGATACGGGCGTCTGGCGCAGCGCGACACGCAGCCAGGCCGCCCCTTCCCCCAACTCCCCCTGCCTGGGCCGAGCGGGCTGGCGGGCCATCCGAATAAAAGGCAAGCCTCCGCTCGGCCTGTTTCCTTCTCTCTCCCTCTCCTCATCCACTCACCGCACATCTTCAAGCCTCTTTGCACTCTTCGCACACAAGCACCTATCCACTCAACCCCAACCAACACTCGTCACAATGGCTCGCACTAAGCAGACTGCCCGAAAGTCCACCGGTGGCAAGGTGAGTTGAGCGAATGCTACCTGCCCACCCGGCGCGGCGTCTGGCCCTATCGCAACGACACCGGGCTCATCGCCTTGCACCCTCTCCTTGCTCGCCCGTCTGCTTTCCCCCATCTCACAGGCCCCCCGTAAGCAGCTCGCCACCAAGGCTGCCCGCAAGTCGGCCCCCTCGGCCGGTGGTGTCAAGAAGCCCCACCGTTACCGCCCCGGTACCGTCGCTCTTCGTGAGATCCGTCGCTACCAGAAGTCGACCGAGCTCCTGATCCGCAAGCTGCCCTTCCAGCGCCTGGTCCGCGAGATCGCCCAGGACTTCAAGACGGACCTGCGCTTCCAGTCGAGCGCCGTCATGGCCCTCCAGGAGTCGGCCGAGGCCTACCTCGTCTCGCTGTTTGAGGACACCAACCTGGCCGCCATCCACGCCAAGCGTGTCACGATCCAGCCCAAGGACATCGCGCTGGCCCGCCGTCTCCGTGGCGAGCGCACCTAAGCGCCACCCGCATCCTCACACCCCTACACCCCGATCGCCTCCTCTTGCTGCTGGTAGCTAGCACCTCGTCCATCGCCTGGTTCGCCCCTTTACCTCCCCCTTTTTCCTTCTTTCCCCTTCGGTCTCCGTGTACTTCTAGCTTTCGATCTCGGCCATATAAGCATTAACCCAACAAACGGCCGAGCAGCGAGCATCCGCGTGTGTGCAGCTTCGTTGCGCCACCCGTGTTCAGCCTGGGCGCGTGTGGCTCCGCCCACAGTCGAGCTGGCACGCGGCCGGGTGCCGCCCACCGCGGCTGGACCCTGCCCAGACCTCCGCTCGGAAACCGGAGTCGAGACAGGCAGTCGGATCGAGTTTGAGTCTCGACAAATATCGGGCGATCGGGCGACGAGAGCGATCGGCTGCGCATGTGAAAAGGGAAAGCCGTCAGCCAGGGAAATCGCAGGCGAGCCTGATTGGGCCTCGGCAACTGGGGAGTGCCCTCAACCGGCTACCGGGCCCTTGGCCGGCCAGCAAGCTAGGCAGGCCCAGGCAGGGGGCCGCGTAGAGCTTGGCCTGACCGGGCCCCCCGCTGGCCCCTCTGCTGCCTGCCTATGGAGAGCGGGCGATCCGGCAGGGGTGTGGAGGCAAAAAGCCTCAGCCTCAGCCTCGCCGAGCGTTTCACAGGCAGGCAGGCAGGCCTCAGGCACGGCCAGCCAGCCAGCCAGTCAGCCAGACAGGCTGGAGGAAGAAGCAACCAAGGGCCAGCCAGGCCAAGAGGCTAGGCTGGGCCTGGGCTGGGAAGGTCGATCGCCCGACGTGCGTGGGCTCTCCGCATTCCCTGACTTCGGGCAGCCCTCCAGGCCAGGCAGACAGGCCCAGGCCTAGGCCCGGGCGGGGCATGCCACCCGTCCCTCGATCCGGCAAGCCTGGCCTTCCAGCCGGTGGTCGGCCCCTTGCCCCTTGGCCGGACCCCTCCCCGGCCCCCGCCTTCTCTCGCCTTCCCCTTGGTATTTAACCACCCTGGCTGCCCCCGGCCCGCTTCTTCTTCCGGTCCCTCCATCACGCCCGCCCGCTTCGGTATCTCTCCATCCCCTCCTTCTCTCTTTGCCACACGCCACCCGCTTCGACCCAGCAGCCGCCATGTCCGCCACTCGCCACGGAAAGCAGAACATCCTCGCGCAGCACGATGACGATGGTGAGTGTTGGCCAAGCTAGGCAGTGCGTCGATGCAGACGACGGCGAAGACGGCGAAGACCAGGGGAAGCACGGCGCATGCACGCCAACGATGGATGCGCCACAGCCTGTCCAGCGGTGCGTGCGTTGCACAGAAGAGGAGCTCGAGCTGACGCGGCCCGCCCTCTTGCCACCTTCCCCTGGACTCGCTCTCGCAGTCGTGATCGTCTCGGCGCTCCGAACCGCCATCACCCGCGCCAAGAAGGGCGGCCTTGCCCAGTGCTGCCCCGAGGAGATGCTCGGCAACGTCCTCAAGGCCGTCATCGCCGAGAGCAAGATCGACCCCAAGCTCATCGAGGACGTCGCCGTCGGCAACGTCCTGCCCCCCGGTGGTGGCGCCACCGCCGCCCGCATGGGTGCCCTGTGGGCCGGCATCCCCAACACCGCCGCCGTCAACACTGTCAACCGCCAGTGCTCGTCGGGCCTCGCCACCGTCAACCAGATTGCCAACCAGATTGCCCTCGGCCAGATTGAGATTGGCATCGGCGCCGGTGTCGAGTCGATGACGCTCAACTACGGAGCCGGCGTCATGCCCAGCAAGATGTCGGACGCCGTCATGGAGAACGAGGAGGCGGCCGACTGCCTGATGCCCATGGGCATCACGTCCGAGAACGTGGCCAAGAAGTACAACGTCGACCGCAAGAAGCAGGACACGTTCGCCGCCGAGTCGTTTGCGCGCGCCTCGGCCGCCCAGAAGGCGGGCAAGTTCAAGAGCGAGATTGTCCCCGTCAAGTACACCGACGACGACGGCAACGACAAGACCGTCGACGCCGACGACGGCATCCGCGAGGGCGTCACCGTCGAGAGCCTGAGCAAGCTCAAGCCCGCCTTCTCCAAGGACGGCTTCACCCACGCCGGCAACGCGTCACAGGTCAGCGACGGCGCCGCCGCCGTCCTCCTCGCCAAGCGCAGCGTTGCCAAGAAGCTCGGCCTGCCCATCCGCGGCAAGTTTGTCACGGCCGCCGTCGTCGGCGTGCCGCCCAACATCATGGGCGTCGGCCCCGCGTTTGCCATCCCCAGGCTGTTTGAGCTGACCGGCCTCAACAAGGACGACATCGACTTCTACGAGATCAACGAGGCCTTCGCCTCGCAGGCCGTCATGTCCATCGAGCACGTCGGCCTCGACTACAAGAAGGTCAACCCCGTCGGCGGCGCCATTGCCATGGGCCACCCGCTGGGATGCACCGGCTCGCGACAGATTGCCACGGCCCTCGCCGAGGCCAAGCGCCGCGGCGGCAAGCAGCTCATCGGTGAGTACAGCGGGGTCGAGGCGAGGTGTGTCGACGTCGAACGGAGGCTGACCTGGACCCTGCCCTGCCTCTCGTCTTCCGCACCCGCCCTCAGTCACGAGCATGTGCATCGGCTCGGGAATGGGCATGGCCTCGCTCATCGTCGCCGAGCACTGAGCGGTGGCAGCACGTCGTGTTCGTTTGTACATTACTACTACAGCCGTCGGGCGATACAAGTCGATGGATTGGCCTGGTCCCAACAGGCGGCGTGTGCTGGCGATTGGCGTCGAGCCGTCGCCAGCACGCCCCTGCCCGCCTGTTCGTTCCTGTTCCTCGACCTTGTGATCCGTGGCAGCGATGGCCATCGCTATCCTCTTCCCCTTGACGCGGGGCTGCCCCGACGCTGCTGCCGCTTTCAGCAGTATGCTACAGCTGCCGCTGCTGCTCCTGCTCGGCCTTGAGCAGCGTCTCGAGGCCCTGGGCGATGTCGGCGCGGAGGTCCTCAAAGTCCTCTAGGCCGACCGAGACGCGGATGAGGCGAGCATCTTCGCCCGGGTCGCTGACGATGCGGTGTTCCATGAGCGACTCGACGCCGCCGAGGGACGTGGCGGGGGTAAAGTAGCGGAGGAGGTGGGGCAGCATGCGCGCGTACTCTGGCTTGGTGGTACGGAAGGCGAAGGTGGGCGACCAGCCGCCGGGCATCTGCTGGCGCGGGTCGAAGCCGAGCCCCTCGGACTTGGCCAGCGGATCCAGATCGGTATCCTGCCGCGGCTGGAGGCTGCCGTGCCAGGTGCGTCCGATCACCTTTCCGCCCGAGATCGACGACGGCGATGTAGACGACGACGACGACGGCGGCGGCGACTGCTGCTCCCCAGTGTCGCCGCTGCTGGTGTCGGAAGACTTTGACGGCAGGCTGAGACTGTGCAGCCACTGGGCGAGCTTGGTGGCCGTCTCGCTCTGCCTCTGGACGCGCAGCGTGAGGGTGCGGAGCGATCGGAGGAGGAGGTAGGCTTCGAGGCTGCCGAGCGTCGAGCCGAGGTAGGTGCGGTCGTGCCAGAGTGCGTCCCAGTCCGCTTTGTCCTTGACGGCCAGCACGCCGCAGAGGACGTCCGAGTGGCCGCCAAAGTACTTTGTGCCCGAGTGCATGACCATATCGGCGCCGAACGCGAACGGGTCGGTGAGCGGGGGCGGGGCAAAGGTCGAGTCGACGACGAGGCTGCCGCCGGCGGCGCGGGTGCGCTCCGAGTAGAGCGAGAGGTCGCGCGCCTCTCCGGTCGGGTTGAGGGGCGTCTCGACCCAGACGAGCAGGCCGCCGTCCCTCTGCTTTTCCGGTGCGAAGCGCGGGTACTCTGCGTCGAGGTCGATGACCTTTACGTCCCTGCCCCTCGAGTAGAGCTTGAGGGATGCGTGGACGCCGTGGTAGCCGTTGCGGATGGCGACGACCGAGGGCGAGTAGAAGAGGAGGGCGGCGTAGGCGGCGTTGAGGCCCGAGGCGTACGTCAGCGCGTGGCCGCGCAGCAGCGACGAGAGGACCTTTTCGGCGCGCAGGTTCGTGTCCTGCGAGTAGCGGCTGTAGACGTGGGTGGGCGGGTCCTGGAAGTCAAAGTCGACCTCGCCCGCCACGGCGCTGCGCATGTGCGCCGCCGCGGCAGAGTCCGGGTGCGGGGCGCGGAACGTGGTGCTCGTGGTGAGGGTGGGTGCGATGGGGTGGTTGGGGTGCGCCAGGTGGTCGACGTCGTCCCGGTGCAGCAGCTGCGTCGCCAGGCCGGGCGCGGGCAGGCCGCCGTGGGCCGAGGCGATGTTGTGCTGGTCCACCATGCCGATATGTGCGGGTCGACGTGCGTGTGTTGTGGTGGCGGTTCGAGAGGAGATGGTGGGTGGGTGGGGTCGAGGTGGCGAGGAAAGGAGCACCCACTCAGTCACTTTCTGCCCTCCGCCCGCCGACCGTCGACTGCGAGGAGAGCGTGGCCGGGCCGTTCTTTGCGGGCCGAGGGGCGGGCGGGCGTGGCTGCAGCGGAAATTGACCTTCTTCCACGCTCGTTCCCCCCTTTGACTCTGGCGGGCCTCGCAAGTTGCCGGGTCCACGCCGCGAAGGTCACCGGGCCCACCCTGCACCGCCTCTGCCCTCCCCTTCCCCTCGGCCCCCGGCTCGCTCAAGCGCACACGCCTCTCTGCTCGCCGTCAGGGCAAGCATCGCCATCATCACCATTCGCAAATGCTCTTTCTTTCGCGGATCAGATAGGGGGAAAGGACATGCGAGGACATGCGAGGACAGCGGTAACGGCCGTAGCCGCGCCGCGCGCCCGCCACAAGGGCAACAATCGGGAAAAGGGGACGTGGACCTACTGCGCCCTCGCCAGCGAATCCCCCCACTAAGCTGTTTTGCCATCGCCCCACGCTCAAGACAAGGGTGGAAGAGGTCAGTGGAGCAGAGCATGACACAGAGTTGGCTTACCTGATCGCGCAATCTTGCGGCGCCCAGAGAGACAAGGAAGTTGATGTTTTTGATGCGGCCCCTGTTCGGCGCGATTGAGGCCGTGTGGGCGACCGGGACTTGAAGACGGCCGTGATGGGGAAATGAGGTGACGGCGATGATGGCCGGGACAATGATGGTACACTTGCTGGACGACGGTGACGTGGGTGTGGCCTGAGGGCTGGAGGAGCTGTGCCTGTGTCGCTCCGAGAGCGTGGGCGGACGTGACGAGAGGGTATGCGGACGGATGCTTGCTTTGCTTTGGGGACGGGGTCGAGCTGATGGATCGACGCCCAGTCAGTTGTTCGACGAGGCGTGGGGCGGATCTGGGGCGCCTCGGTGGCGCTAGTTGCTCGGCTGATCGGACTGGCCTGGACGCCCGGATGGGACAGGGAGACCCTAATCGACCCTGGCGCGCTTGGTATCGCCGCTGTCGGCATCGTCTGCGCCTGCCGAGTCGTCTTCGAGGCCACGCTTGTTGAGTGCTGCAGTCGCACCGGCGCTCGCCACCGACGCATCTCCGTAGACGCTGTCGTCGGCCTCGGCCTCGGCCGGGCCAAGAGCGGCCGGACCTTCCGCTGCGGGCTCCTCTGTATGGTCTTCGTACTCGACAATCTCCTCCTCGTCGTCGCCGGGGCCTGTAGTGTTCGTCGAGGCGAGAGCAGAGCCGGTCAGCAACGGCCGAGCATCCGGATGGCGGACATCAAGCGCCGACGACAGATGATACGTACCGACGTGGGTCGCAGCTTCCGCATAGGACTGGTCGACGGCGCCGTCCGAGTCATCGATGGTGACGGAACCATCGCCCTCTTCGTCGTCGTCTTCTTCTTCCCCCTCGTCTGCCTCCTCTGCCTCGTCTCCTACCGCCTCCCCCTCCTCTGCCTCCTCTTCTGCCTCCGCCTCTCCCTCCTCGAAGTCGGCTTCCTCCTCCGCCTCGTCCTCGTATGCTTCGGCGCCGTCTTCTGCTTCAGCACCGTCCGCTACCTCGTGCGTCGCCGGGTACTCGCCCTCCTCCTCTTCGGCCAATCCGTCGTCTCCACCGTCTTCCTGCCAGCCTTCAGGCTCGTCCTCGTACGCTTCCTGCTCGTCCCACTCCTCGGTCTGATCGGCTGCAGCCGCAGCTTCATCGCCATTGGCCCCAGCGGCACCTTCGACTCCGTCCGCCTCGTCAATCTCGTCGAGCTCGTCCTCGTCTCCTTCCTCGTTGACCGTGACATAGGTCTGGTCCGCCTCTTCGTGCTCTGCCGCCTCTGCCTCGCCGTCAGGGGCTTGGGCTGCAGTGCCCGACGGTCCAGCATCCGATGCGGGCGCTGCGGCTGCATCTTCCGCTAGATCCGGGTCGGGGCCGGCAGTTTCTGCGGGTGGCGCCGCATCTGCATGCTCTCCAGCCGATGTGGCCTCAGCGGCTTCGGCCGTGACGTCGCCGGCCTCCTCGTACGCCTCGTGCGAGTCGTCTTCGACCTCTGCGTTCTCTGCAGAAACGATCTCTTCGACCGCCTGCGCGGCGGTGTGCGCGTCCGCATCGCCGGCGTCGAGCTCGTCGTTCTCGTCGTTGGCGTCGGCGGTCGTCGGGCGGTGGGCCTGCACGTCGACCTGGCCGGACTGCTCGGCTTCGCCATGCTCGTCGTGCGCCTGCTCAATCAGGTTGGCGACGTGCTGCGCAAGCACATTGTACTTGGAGATGAAGCGCTGCGCCTCGGTGATCAGCAGGTGCAGGCTGGTGCCGTAGCCCAGTCCCTGGTGGAGCTGGAAGAGGTCGTCGAGCGTGATCTCGCGCCCATAGACATTGTCCTCTTGCACCGTGAGGTCGAGGTCCGGCATGTGGAGCACGAGCTCCGTCGCCTCCTCGAGAAACTCGCCGAGGCAGTCCTTGACGCGCAGCGAGGCAAACAGGCTCTCGAGCGGCTGCCAGAAGGTGTCGTCGGCCACCTTGAGCTTCGGCGCCGGCACCTGGACGGTCGGCTCTGCCGTCGCGTCGCGCTCGGTATCTTCGGCCGCCTGGGAGGCGCCAGTGTAGCAGGGCGGCTCGTCGTGCGAGAAGAGGACAAAGTCTTGGCCGTTGAAAGAGACCCGGACAGTGGGGGGCAGAGTGCCGTCGTCGGACTCGATGCTGTGCTCCAGCTGGTCTTCCTCGCCAGCCTCGTGCTCCGCGGCCAGCCCATTCTCCGCCGGCGCGTCCGCCCTCGAGGGCTGCGCCTGGTCTCGAGCCGAAGCATCTTCGTCCGGCTCGGCGGCACCTTCGTCGGCGAAAGACTGGTCGAAGGAGGTGGATGCCAGCTCATCGACCTCGTGGAGCTCTGTCGGGACAACGGCAGGATCGAGCGCGGACGAGCCACCCGTGGCTTCTGCTGATGCGTCGGGCGCTGTCGATGTCGGTTCTGGTTGGCCTGTGGCCGCATTCGGGCCTGACGACTCAGCGGACCTTTCATCGGCACTGGGGCCCTCGTCGACTATCGTTGCGTCGGGCACGAGTGCCGTAGTCTCGCCGAGGCTGACGGGTACATCTCCGCCGCTAGCGGAGGTTTGGAGGGGCGCAGACTCGCCGTTGGTCTCGGCCTGCCCCGCTTGCATCTCCAACGTCATGGGGTCCTGGGAAGGGGCCGCATCGGCCGTGGGCTCAGTGATGGCGGCCATCGCCGGCACCGCCTCTTCGACGAATTCGACGTCGGCGTCGTTCGACGGGGCGATTCCCTGTCCAGACTGCTCCTCGTACTCGTCGGCCATCATGCCGTCCTGGATATCCTCGGCGACGGCGGCCTCGTCGGCCATGACATCGTCCTGCTGGCTGCTGGAAGACTGCTGCTGCGGCGTCGAGGCATGGAAAGGCAGGTGCGAAGGGCCAGACATCCTCATCTCGTAGTCGACGTCGGGCTGTGGGCCCAGAGGCGGGTCTTCGGCGATCTCCATCATGGACGGCAAGGTCACGCGAGGTCGGGAGAGGTCGCGGAAGCGTCAATTGGACGGGCGGCAAGGGTAAGGGCGGGTTTCGTACGAGCCGTGGGACGTCTGATGCTGCGCTATGGATGAGTCGGACAAGACAATTCGAGGCCTGAGGTGGTGCTAGAAAGGGAGGAAAGAAGCGCGCGTGGCGAGGTGTCTGGATTGCGAGCAGGTTGACAACGTGGTCAGTGGCGAAGAGGGGGGGTTGGTGGGGGGCAGCCCGTTGAGACCCCTGCAGTCGACGGGGCCTGGCTGCCTTTTCGAAATTTTCTCGGTTCCGCATTCTGACATGCGGCGCTCGCGACTCAGCCTGCCATGAGATTGGACGCTGCCCCGCCTTCACACCCTCGCCCTCGCCCTCGCCCTCGCCCTCGCCCTCGCTCTCGCTCTCTGCAAGGCTTGCTTGATCACAAACCAGACAAGGCGCTTTCAACGATAGGCTCCAGGATGGACTCAGCCTTCCTTCGTGCAGATGGCCGTCGTCAGCAGATCGGTCCTCTGCTGCTCTGCTCTGCCGGTACAAGCTGTCGGCATCCTCGTCGCTCCCCGCTTTACCAAAGCGGGTACGTCGGCCCTGGCCCGGACAGAGGTGGGCTTGTCCTTTGATGAACAGACGGATGACTTGCGAGTGGCGTCTGGCATCGATCACCTTGAATGCATGGCAACAAGTCCATGTGAGGCAGGCTCTCGGTCGCCCAGAGACGCTGCCTCGAGCGCGATGGTGCCGGACCGATTGGGCAGCCGTGCCCAGACGGTCTCGACAGCACTCTCGCCGGTGCTCAGTGGAGCGATTGCTTGCACCAGGTAGTGAATACTCTACATAGACGGTCAGCCCCTCCCGCGTTCCGAGGCGGCATGCCCGAGCTCCGTGCCATCTTGTGTCGAGCAGCAGGTCGCCGGATCGTGACCCTGTCATCGGCTCCGGGGACGTTCGATTGCCACAGCACTTCGTCGATGGCCCAGCATGGCGCCGACGGTAACCTACACCGTTCTTGTACACGCACAAGAAGTGGCGCTGCCGGCGTACGCGAAGCAATCGTGGCAGCATTCGGGAAGCGACCAAAGTGGCGCTGAGCAAGCATCGGCTTTCGCCTCAGGGGTAGGGCCATCATCCCGGGGGTTCGGGCCCTACCCAAGCCGAGACCTGAGGCGATGGAGCAGGTGCGCAATACGGCTCCAACCGGGACGTTGCCATGACGGCCATGTTGGAAGCCGTCCCAGCTCATCGACGCCACCGAAGCGCTCGACGATGCCGGCAGAGCCTCGTATGCAGCAGGTCATCCCAGCCCTTTCTTTCTAGCAGCCCGTCCTTTGCGACCGTGAGGCCGCGGTTGCCGGTCCACGTTTCCAGTGTACGGCCTCGAGCGATGTGCGCGTATACCTGTCTGTTGTACGTATATGAGGAGCCAGCAGCCCCAGGATCAGAAGATATCTACTGATCGTACACAATTGACCCCGGCGAACGCGCGGACGGAAGCCGCTTTCCGGTGGCTTCTAGAGCCAGCATCTTGCCGGTCTGATAGGCAGTCTGCCTCGCTGGGGTGGCGCAGCAGCACGCCCGACGGTTTCCTGGCCCAGTGCGCCCAGAGCGCTCGCTTCCAAACCTTGCTCTCACGGCAGATAGGAGGCCCCAGACGCAGCTGCGCGGGTGAGTCCCGTGTCGTCTTCTTGCCTGCCAGCCGCGCATCGCAGCCGGAGGCATCAGCGGCCCCTGCTCGAGAGCACCGCTCTGGTCGCCAGAGTGCGCCGTCCGGGGATGCAAACGCGAGGGGCTCGTGTGCGAGCATAGCGCCGGCGACTGCGGCGGACAACGGGCTGGCAACCGAAGCACAGTGGACGGGAACGGCGAATCGACAATACGATGGAGCTCGGGGACTGCCAAGGCGGTAAAGCTAGGTAGGGGAGGGCGTTGAGGGCTTCCATGCATGTGTCGAGGTCGTTGATGTCCGGGCCTGGGCTCAAGTACAAAGACGTCCGGGAATCCCTTCCTTTGTCAGGCCTGCCTGCCTTTCGACGGCCGGCTGACAGCGACGCGACATGCTACCCGTCCGTTCCTCGACCTGGTCAGTTTGTACACTCGGTGTCGTCAAGCGGCGCCAACTGGTGATCCCTCGAGGTATGGAGGACGGCGCGACGCTGTGAAGCGGCTAGCGAGCTGGCCATGGTTCCACGCGCTCGAGCGCTGTAGTGCAACAACTCTAGCTCAAGGTTAGTTACGTAGATCCGCCAGTCAGCGTCGGCAGGAGCCAGATCGATCCATATTGGTCGGGGTCGAGGGCGGCGGCGGCGGCGTCGGAGGCGGAAGGCGGAAGGGAAAGGGAAAGGGCGGAGGGCGGAGGGCGGAGAGTCAAAGCGGGGCGCGTGCGGGTGGTCATACGCGGTCGATATTCCTGGCTCTACTCTGCCTGTCACGGGTCGCGAGCGACGCAGCGCCACCGCCTCCGCCGGTCGGAGCTCAAAAGTGTGCATGGAGTGACAGCAGCCAGAAGAAGCAGCAAGCAAGCAAGCATCGAACGCAAACAACGTAACGCAAGCAAGCAAGCAAGCCACACCGGATGGACGGGCGGATCAGCTGATGAGACCCTCGCAACCCGCCCGGCTGCTCGCTCCCCTTTGCCGCTCTGTGGGCGATCAACAGCAGGCAGGCACATCCAACGTTTCCAGAACCATGGCCAGCTCATGCGTCCGACAAGGTTCGCCGTTACTCTTCGTCACCACTACTTCTCAGCCCACGCATGTACGCCTGAACGGGCGAGTCTGGCAACCCCTTTTTTTGCAAGACGACAGGGCGAGTGATGATCCCATCCTGGCTGCCGTGGAGCAGCAGCAGGCAGTCAAAACCTGACGGCACCGCGTCCCGCACCCGTCGAGCCTCGCTCTCGTTCGGTAATCGACCCGGGAAACAAGCGATTGGCAGCGCGGTCAAGGGCGGATCGACAAAGCAGCCCGACCAACGCGCCACTAGTACGTTAACTAGACGAGTGACTTGGCCGGCGGGCGTACAAACATGGAGGAGAACATAGCCAAGGCCCGCTTGGTGCTTCCAACTGGACGACGACGTGGGTCGAACCAAAGGCAGCCGACATGGTCCCGTCCCATGGGCGGGGGCCGTGGCGTTCCCGGCGCACCGGCGCTAGGCCTCGCAGCCCTGCCAACGAGCTTCGAGACGGTGCGCCTGGTGCGATACCGCACTTGCTGGATGTTGGTAGGAGATGTGCAGACGGAAGCAGCTCAATGATGATCGTCAGGAAACATGATAGAGGCCGGAAGACTTCCTTTGCCGCTTGGCTGGCATCCTGGTCGACTGCGATCCTGGCACGCCATCTATTGTCCGAATGCTCTTGGGGCACGGTGGTCGGACCGTCGGTCCGCTGCACCCGCGTTCTGGTGGGTCCTCCTCGTACGTAGTCGACGGGGCCGCAAGTTCCCAAGCGAGCTGCAACGACGCAATTGAGAGGAGCCAGAAGTCGCAGGCGCGGCAGCCGCACAGCACTCTGGCGAGCACATACTCCAGAGAGGAGGACGAGGCGAAACGGATACGGCAGGTCGGTACACACATGTATCCCTCGCGGCGGCGGTGCCAAGGCGAGGAAGATGTCGGTGCAGCCGGAATCTGGGCCGCCTAGGATACGTTCATCTGGACGGTATGTATCGCAGCCGGGGTCAGATGGCAGGCGGTTGCGCATACGGCGCCGGAGCGTAAAAGAGCAAAGAGGAGCTCGTCAAGCGAAGGCGGCCGCTCGTCTAGAGATAGAATCTCCGCGGCATTCCGCCGAAAGCCGCAGCACGATGCTCGCTGCTTTATCGAGGCGCGTCCGTCGGCCGGTCTGACTCGGGTGCTGCGCGGATGTGGGACAGCGCAATGTGTGTGTATGTACGTACGTACGTACGCCCGGCATCGGCCGCGAGCGGCAGGGGCTGGCAGGCAGGCGAGCGAAGAAGCGGGCGGGCGGGCAGGGAGAGGGTGTGGGTCTGATCGGGTTTAAGCTGGCGCGGGTGCGGGCAGCATCACTGCTGCGCCTATCGACGGGCGCAGCCTGGGAGATACAGTAGTTGTGCGCACCCGCCCAGCTCAGGCTGGTCTACCGACCGATCGAGGGCGTGGCGTCTCGCATGACCGGTGGCGAGAGCCAAGCCCATCACTCTACATATGGGGATGCAGATGAAGCAGGGAGATCGAGAGGAGATGAAAGATGAGATCGGAAGAGGGCAGGCGACGGCAGGGCACGACAACGCGATCTGGCTGGCTGCAGGGGCGACGGATGATGATGACCAGCTTCATCCCTGGAAGGTGACTGTCAGCGAAATGAGGGCTGGGCGTGAGAAGCGCGAAAGGTCGAGGCGGACTGCCCCAGCGGCTCCGGATTGCGGGCGTGCGTCATGAGTGGTGGTGAGGAGCGCCGCGATGGCCAAGCGAGCCTGGTCAGACAGAGGGCGTCGCGGCAGTCGCCGTGGTACTAGATCGACTGAGGTAGGGTACGAGGAGAGAACAGGCGAGGAGAGGCAATGCAAGGCGAGGGAAGCAGGCCGGCATGGTCTTTTCCGGAAACAGCTGCCCGCCGTCGCGAGGCGAGGCGGGCAGACCGGCAGGCCAGGCCAGGCCACCTCCTTGGGCCCAACAGCTGCTGCGCTCACGGTCGGTGATGTGCCGTGCATATCGCCGCCGTGTCGGGTCTTTTCTGAGACCCTCTTCTCGATCTCGTCCTTCCCCGGCGCGCCCGAAACCAGCGCGGGCGCAGCCAGCCGGCCCAAGTCATCCATCATCTCGTCGACGAAGAGCGCAGCAGGCGGGCGAGCGAGCGACGTCGGCGGCGCCGACGACGACGACGACGAGACAAGCGCTGCATGCGACACACACCAGCACCTGTGTAGACAGACACCTGGGCCAAATGTAGCTGCTTGCGACCGCAGTGTGAAATGGCGACATGGTCGAAGCCGCTGTGGCCGCTCTGCCTGGGCCTTCGCCTGCCACATCTCGCCTGTGCAGGCTGCACATACCACCTATGTGGCCAGGGTCAAGCCGCATTGGCCGTCCTTCTTCCTGGTCACGGAGGTCAGGCCAGCCCCGTCGAGAGTGCAGCACGCCACCACCTTAATGTTCGAAGGACTCCTTGCTCCGCGGGACGGCGGCGCGTTGCCTCGAAGAGAGAGAGAGCGGGGTTGCGAGGGAGACGCAGCGACTAGAGACGCGCGAAGAAGCCGGACCCACCGGGTATGAAGCTAGAAGAAGTGTGGCGTTGCCTGACGCTGAAGTACCGGCGTAGCTACGTACGGCATCTACCGGTAGCTGTACCGAACCCGCTAAGGACCGGGCATGGTCACCTTTGGACCAGGAGCATCCCGAGTAGTCCACGTTTCGACTGGCCGTTGGTCCATCAGGAACAGCCAGGCCAGGCCAGGCCGGCTGATGGCTGGGCAGGCAATCTGCGCACCATCCTCCCTCTAGCGTGCGTGTCGGGAGTTGGCGCGGTGCAATCTGGCAGACGCTCCCAGGACCACACGAGGAGCCGCGCAGTCTGTTCGCTGAACTTGCGCCACCGCCGGCGCGGCTTTGGTCTCGGCCAGGGTCGAGGTCATCCCCGTGGCGAGAGGAAAGGCGAGTCTTGTGGCATGAACGGGAGCCGCACCTCCTTCTTGGCGTACAACAGTACTTAGGTGCTGTATTCGCGCGGCGGCCAGCGACGATGGGCGAGAGGAGCCTGCTGGACCCTCGGGCACAGAGGACGAAGGGCACGTACAGCGCGAGGGCAGATGCATGCTGTAGGCTTGCTCGCCTGCCTGCTGCCACCGCAGGAAGAGAGACATATAGAGGACTCACAGGCGGACGCTCGCACCCTGGCGGGCGGCAAGAGCGTCAGAGGCCAGACCACCGGAGAAGGGTCGAGGGAGTCTTAGTGATGGAACTCGGGCCGCCTTGGACGGGCCTGGGTGCACGAGGGGATCAAGCAGCGATTTCTGTGGCGCCCCGTGTATGTAGGGAGAGTAGAGTGGGGGGCGCTCCAAGGAGGGGGGCGCATCGGACAGAGAGGCGGGGGGAGCGGCACAGAAGGCAGAGAAGCTCGAGGACGGCAGGCGCGCACATCATACACCCAAGAAGAGGGGGAGGCCGGGCGATGATGGCTGGGCCTAGTAGGTGGTCTTCTGTCATGCTTTTTGCGCCGACGCTTGGTTGGTTGGTGGGTTCTGTCGCAGCGTAGCGCTGCTGCTGGCGTAGGGTTGGGGTTGGCCTTGGCCTAGCCTCCTAGCCTGGCCTGGCTGGATGGAAGCAGGCTGGGGCTGCCTGCTGGTCGGCTGGCTGGCTGGCTGCCTTTCCGCCCGCCCGCTCGCTCCGCCGTCGGTGCAGCCGTCCAGGTGCCCGCCCTCGACCGCTAGCCTCTTGGGTACTGGAGCTCCCTCTCGCTCTCTTCCGCCCTCCGGCCCATGTTAGGTAGGCCCCCCCTCGTCGTTGCGTTCACCATCTCGTCTGCGCGGTCCCCTTCTGCAACCCACTTGGCCAGCAGAAAAAGACGTCGACCGGCCCTGGCTTCTTTAGCCATCCTCGCCCAAAGCGCCGCGCCTCGCCTCGCCCCGGTCCTATATCTCTCCCCCTCCTGCCTTTTGCCGCCGACCTCGATCCCCAGCTGCCCCCCCCCCTCCCTCTGCCCCCTGCCTTGCCCCCACTCCGTCTCATTCGCCCTCACCGCCGACAAGCCATCCGATCGCCTCGTTCGCCCGCTCTCGCCCGCATCGCATCGACCCGACTTGCCGCCATCTTCTCCCGTCCGTCCGCGCTTCTGCGCATTCGAGCATCCCGTCCTCTGCTGCCAGCCTAGCAACCGCAGCCCTTGCCGCAGCCAACGCCGCGCCTGGGTGGAAACTCCATTGCAACCTCGTCGTCGCCGCGCTACCCTCTGCATCGGCATAGCCGCTACAGCGTTGGGCGCCCCTCGCCGCACTAGACATCGGGCCTCTCCGACGCGGATCGATCCGGTCTTCAGTCGCCATCGCAGCCGCAGCCGCCCCGACCTCGAAAGAGACTCCTCATCCTCGGCGAATCCGATCTCTGACCGTCCTCTTCTCGGCCCCAAGACCCCCTCGACCATTCGCCACCGCGGCCCACCCGATCAGAGCTCCGCACGGCTTGCGGCTTGCATCGCTGCAATCGCTCCAAGCCCCTGCCTCCGTGATCGCCGCTAGTGCACCCGCGCCCACCCCATCGCCAACCCGGAACCGCCACTCGAATGGAACCGACGCTCTTCTTGCAGACCAGCGCCACGTCCAGCCTCGCCCCTCCTCCCTCGTCCTCGATCCATCCCGCGCTCTCCGACAGGCCCGACGCCCAGCTCGCAGAACGTCACCAGAGGTCCCCCGACGCCACCTTTTCCCGATCGACGAGCGCCTTGACCGGCCCAAACGGCTACAGCAACGACGACAGCGTCCCAAAATCAGCGGCCGCTTACTCGCCCCACACGCCCCTCAACTCGTCCCGGGCATACTACAGCGACGCTTCAGTCTACCCCAAGTCTGAAGCGCACCCCGACTCGCTCCCTGCGCTCTCTGAACAAAGTCTCGGTCACTCGTCTCCCGCCGGAGCGCATTCCTCCCTAAGTGCGACGCCCAAGCAGCTGGACGACAACCTTTTCGAACGCAAACGAGGCGACGCCGTTGCCTCGAAGCCCTACCACTTTTCCCAGAATCAGGTCGCGTACAAGTTTGACAGCATGAGCAACGGCTACAATTCGCCTGCCCAGCCCGGCTTCAAAGAGGGTGAGTGAGGATTTTGCCACCGGGGAGCATGTGGTGCCGTGCGGATTCCCCGAAGGTTGGTCACCCGCTGACGATGCCATACCCTGCACCCTCTTACAGAGATCGCCAACCCGTGGGACCGCCGCGACTCGCTCCCCGTCTCTGCCAGCACGAGCCAGTTTGCCTACGACGACCAGACTAGCGGTGGCGACCGGTCGGCTAGGGGCGGCGCCCAGTATGCCTCGGGCTTCACGGCCAGGGAGAGCTTTTCCGGGAGCAGCAGCCTGAGCCCGACGACCCACTCCTCGTCGAGGCCTCCCTCGCAGATGCCGCCGCCGCTGCAGGACTCTTATATGCTCCACCGCGCCTCGATCTCGGGACCGGTCATGGGCTCCACGCCCGCCTACTCCGGAGAAGGCGGTGAGGCCGGCTTTGCCACGCACGCACCGCCCCGGGCCCACGGTCTCGCCGCCTGGGAGACTGCGTCGGGAGCAGCCAGGCCTCACACGGCCGACGGCATGTTCGGTCAGTTTGGCTTCCCGGAGCCTTACTCGATCAACGAGCCGACCAGCAGCGCGGCAGCCTCCTCCTCCGGCACGGGGCCGGCGAGCGCCTCTCTGGCGTCGGGCAGCATGTCAGCTCCTCGAGGCTTTGCTTCCGGCCCGAACTCGGCGGCAGGCATTGACGCCTATGCTCAGCAGCGGCGCTTCTCGATGCCCAACACGGCGGGCATGGCCGGCAACGGCGACATGGCAGGCAACGGTGGCGGAGGCCCGGGCGGCAACAAGGTTTTTTCCTACATGCCGCCGATGGACGACCTCGCGGGCCACGCGTACGGACCCAACGGCTACCACGGCCACATGCTCGGAGGCATGGGCGGCTTCGGTAACAATGTGGGCAAAAAGCGGCCGCGCCGACGCTACGACGAGATCGAACGCCTCTACCCCTGCAAGTGGCCAGGGTGTACAAAGAGCTACGGCACCCTCAACCATCTCAACGCGCACGTCGCGATGCAGAAGCATGGTCCGAAGCGATCGCCTTCCGGTGAGTGGCAGTGGACGTAGCCCCCCCCTCCTTTTGTGTCACGAGCACGTCGCTGACCTTCCTCGTGCCCTTGCGTACCTCTCTGCGCACGCGACCCCCCTTTCTCCCCCAACTTCAGAGTTCAAGGACATGCGCAAGGCCTGGCGTCGCCAGAAAAAGGAGGAGGAGCAGCGCAGGCAGGCTCGCCAGTCGGCGTTTGGCGAG